CATTCAAAGTAGCTGTGCATCTGCCTGAGGCAAGGAAACAAAAGTCTGCCCACAGGAGTGTCAGATCTGTAAAATGGATGTGTACGCAACACTCAGGTTCTGGAACAGGACTGGGGTACAGAAGTGGACAAACAACCAGAACTTTCTGTCAGAGTTTACAGCTGGTGAATGTGAAGAAGAAGAAGAAGTTGTTACTGTAGTATGCACCTGAAGAGGTACAATAAAATATCCCAGGCAATAAATTGTGCAGTCTATTTTTTGTGTCTCTTTTTTTTTTGTACACAATAGAACATTTGTACCTTGTGCTGAGAAATGTAATTAAACAAACAAAATGAAATGCTACACAGTTGATTTCTCGAGGAACAGCTGAAGCCAATGGACATAACTTTCTCATCACACATGAGATTTCCTGACCAAAAACTTCTTATTCTTTGTGTTTGCCTGGTCTTGTAGTCTGGTCATGGTTGCAGATTCAGCCACTTGGTTCTTGCAACAGTTTGACTTCTCACACAGCAAGGCTATTCAACTAAGTTTACACAGGGACAAGAATTTTGAAAATGGTTATCATCACGAGTCAGAAGCCTGAGCCCCGGAAAAGACAGATCATTAATGCAATAAGAGAGTCGCCATGGTGTTGCGGCTAAACCCTTGCTTGCGGGTCTTGGATTCAGGTCCCGACGAAGCCAGACTTTTAACAAAAATTGGCTTCCAGGCTGACCCAGCCGTGAGTGGGAACCAGCTAAAGCCATGGGAAGTAAAGGTGGCTGGCGTGATAATGACCACATCTCCCACCAAGAGCCAAATGGTTTATAAAATATTGATCTAGCCTGTGGGCCCAATACAAGAGAAAGCGTGGAAAGGGGTCCTTTACTTTTTCTTTTAATTTTTTTTTTACTTAATACAAGAAAACAGATTTGGCCCCCAGGCTGCCAGTCGAACAGCCTTTTCACAGAGCATTCAGTATAGATTCAGTTATCATTAACAGTATTATCAGCGACTGACTCATTTCTATGCCTTTGGTGGTAATGGTACATGGTGATAAAGCCATATTTGTATAAACCAAACAGTAATTGATAGGGGATATGGTAAAACACATCTTTCTAGCAAACCAACATTCAAAATATAACAGAACATGGTGACAATAAAGTGACAATTAGTATTTGTAAAAAGGAACTTAATGAAACTTATAATAAAGACAACATTGCAAAAACAAACTAAACAAAATGTATTGCAAAGTGTAAACAAAAAATAGCAGTGCAGTAAAATAAAACTTATTATTTAATTTACCCCAAAATATTACAATTTTTAAAAAAAACCCATCATTTTACATACCTCAAAAACACCATAACAATAATACAGTTATATATTAAGTTAACACACAATGTGGGAAATATAACAATATAAACAAACTCAAACAGGATTAAATAAAAAATCATATTATGAATGCTCAGACTTAACTTCAGTGGTAACAGCTAAATCATACACAACATTAATAACCAAAAATATGAAACCTCAGGCCAAAAGGCACAATGAATACGAACTTTGGTACAAAAACATACATTTTTTTAAATCTAGAAACTATGAGTTGTACACCCTTTGGCTGCTCTGTACTATGAACATCATTACCCTTCAGCCTTGATTCCGTGACAGATATCGTAAGAAAATGACCCAGTCAATAAATGCAGTAGTTTTGCTTATGGAAGGAAGTATGAAGCAGAAGGTGGAGAAAAGACTAAGCTAAACATAGCAGAAACAATCATGTAGAGTTTCATACTGATAAGTAATTAGGTCATTGTAGTTAAAAATTCATATCAAATGGGTTGCCCCATAGTTGCTCTGTGCCCATGCCAACGAAGACCACAGAAAATGTCCATTACTGTATCTATTATTCTAAAATATTTAAATATTTCGGCACAGGCTGCAATCTTGGCAAAATTCAACAGCACATTTGGGCATTAAATGTGTAAGGCAGCCATCAGAAATGCCAACACAACCTGTCCGAACTTGAAAGGCAGTTCTTCTTCTTCAGCGATCTCTGGTCATGCGCATAATCCACTGTGGGTCATAAACTGGGATGTCTTTTCAAGGTCTCTTAGGTTTCCCCAAAGCTTAGTTGTCAGTTCTACTGGGTGTTGCCATATGTCGCTCCGCAGCTCCGCCAGGAGAGGACAGTCTTGCAGGACATGTTCTGGAGTCTGTTCAGCACGAAGGCACTGGCAGAGAGCTGTTTGGCTCATACCTAATTTATGTGAGTGTTTATTGAGTCTGCAGTGTCCAGTGCGTAAGCGAAAAACTGTGACTTGGTCTGTTCTGTTCAAGTGTTTCAGAAAATCTTTTCAGTAGTTATAACCAGTGTTGGTTTTCCAATCTGTTTCTGGAAAGGCAGTTCATCGTTGATGGATGCAGCAGTAACAACAAATAAGTAGTTGCACACATAATTAATCGCATAAGGCACCACAAGTTATGTGGCAACAGGCCACTTGCCATTTTTTGAATCTGCAGTTCACAACTTAAAACATACTGGGCACAGCTGAAACGCATTTCAAATGAAATCTGCAGCTCACAGTGTCATTCCATTCATTCAACTTGGTAGCCTTGTGACACTACATAAGACGAGTCTATAACTGAAGCAAAATGCAACAGATAACTATTGACAGAAGCACAAATTTGCTTAGACTTAAAAAAAAGGAAACCAGCCTATCCACCATACTGACCGGAAGCCATGCTTTGATGAGTATCTTATGCTGTGCTACTGAAGTAAATGATCACTGGCACAAGTATTTGTTGGGTTGGTGGCACCTTTCCAGATGAATCAATCACAGCCCATGGTGACAGCGAGTGCGACCAGCAACTGCATTTCTTTATAATTAGTACTTAAATGTTTTAATTAGATGGTGGCAAATTCACACAAATTCAACTAGCATACATCTATACATTACCACAAATTAATCTCTTAAAGATCAACATATTACCACACATTCACCTCTTGCAGATCTACACATTTCTAAAATTCAACTCACATACACCCACATATTCCTAACAGTTCAATTATGATATCTCACCTTCCCATAACTACAACTCTCATACATCTATACATTCCTAACATTTCAAATCTCACATCTCATCTTCCCATAACTAAAACTCTTATTATATTTTTAACTCTTTCAGGACGGCATTTTTTCTGGGGTTTGGACAGCATTAATTTTAAGCGGAATTTTTTTAGTGCAACACGACAAAGCTAAAACCTTCCTGAAGAAAAAGTATGGGCTGTATCGGGACTTATAATATATCAAATTAAAGATAAATGAGTGCAGAATAAATCTAAACTACTTAAATGTCAGTATAACATTAAAATATTATTAAAATCACACAACATTCAAGGATGTTAGACATATATGAAAATTTTTGACATAAATAATTGTGTGCTAACCTTATTTTTTACTGGTTCAGCGACACTGCTATCCAATTCTAAGAATACACATGCCTTCTCTGTTCAATTATGTATTAGCTAGTCTTTATTTGAAATAATTAATTTAAATACTTTGGATATTATAATCATTTTTGTATGACATGTCAATTTTCACAACAACCAAAAATTGGAAAAACAGCTGATCAAAACATTGATCTAATTGAAATATTTTGTAAAATTTTCATATCATAAACTAAATTATCGCTGGTAGATTTGTCACTTAGATATCAATCATAATATCAAGACTGTTGTCACCATCTGGCAGGGATTTATCAACTATAGAGCAGTATAAACATTTCTAGACCTTTTCCCTTATCATTTAGTATAGAAAAATCATGTACACATTTTATCCCATCTAAATAAATTTTTTAAAATCACAAAATAATGCACCAACCACGATGAACATCGCAAATGAAAGTACATCCCGTTGTTAATCCTAATTGTTAAAAAACTTGTTCATAAAAGTTCGTTTTCCCTACAAACGGAACAAAATTAGAGTGTCTCTATCATGAGCCAGTAAACTGGCTTTACGTCTTTAAGGGATAGACTTAATCGCCAGTATACTGGCTAAATGTCCGTAAAGAGTTAACTAATCTTACAAATTCTATCTTTTCTGTGAACCTCCTCAATGTTGCAAACAATACAAAATGTCCCAAAACAGACAACAAAATTACCATTAAACAACTTCACAGGCCATTTCTGTCAACTCCAACACTCAAAAATACCAAACACAGTGGAATCTCTGGTCACAAATTTAATCCTGTCCCCAACTGAGCTTGTATAGCATCGGAGACCGGGTTGCCCTGTGGCTCGGCAACAGATGATTTCGTCGCCGGTCGGGACAGTATTTAGGTCTGTCTCCTCTGATCGCATCAACACTGCAGGAGACCTTTTCAGGTCTCATGGTGACTTGCAATGCTAAGCCATTTTATATCGTGCCCATAACCTAGTCACAACTATAACATACAGCTCCCCCCCCCCTTTTTTTCCGAAGCACCAAGAGCTCGTCTGGTGAATAACTTGTATCCTTAAACTATTTATCCTAATAAAATTAAAGTAAATAATTGTAATTCTTTCCAGCCCACCAAAAGTAAAATAATTCGGATATAAAAATGATGATTTTCATTTCATTAATTGGGAAAATGTGTGGCACTGCTTTTTTATTTTTGTCGGCAGCGGAAAATTGTTTTTCTTCTGAGCATCAACATCAAGAATTTTGTCGAGAGGCTAAAGTCCTCCTTCGGGAATGTTAACGTTTCTTAATCCATTTAAAAGTTATTGAGATGCTCTCGCTTGCATGCTGGATTTCACTTTGTATTCTTGGGGTTATAGGGGGGGGGGGGGGGGGGGGGGGGGGGGGGGGAATGAATTGGCGAGCCTGACCTCATCATGAAAAACTTGTATCTAGGTACACTCAAATGCTAAGATTCCCCATGTGCTTCCATGAACTCAACCAAATTAACATCACACAACATCACATCAATTCTGTACCACAGCAAACAATACTAAATGTTTCACAAACATCCACTTGCTAACTGTAAGGCATTGCAGCCAGGTAGTTGGCTGGGGCATAGCCCCGATTGCCTTCTGATTCCACCAGCCACCATTCTGAGTTGCCGTTGACATCATGGGAGGCAAGGACGGTGACAGGGTGACCAGCCACTAGAGATGTTTCATTGGGATGTCGAGATGCGAAGTCATAGAGCGCATAGTAATACTGTGGGATACAAGATTTGCTCACTTAAAGACAAACCATCGAAATCACAAGTTACTAGGTTTTGGCATAAAGAGGTGAAATGACTACTTCCTTGTCGAGTCAAAGTTAATTCGAGAGGATCGACTCCACTGCGGCAGGTTATTCCATACTGGCTCAGTATTTTTCTGCAGAATGGCTAGCCGCCTTCCCAGCTTCCCAGTGCGGGTTCTAGGGCCCCCACTGGGGGGGAGGGGGGGGGGAGCGCTCTATCTCCCTATTAAGCATGACGTAAAAGATGACTAATTAGGGATTTTTCCTCCATAGAGTGCATCTACCTGACAAGCTACAAACCAACAGTTTGCATACAAATAAGCAGATCTGTAAAACGGATGCACATATATAGTTTAATTTCTTGAACAAGACCCAAAGTCTAGAAGATAATCACATCACCTGGGCGAGAATAGTCCTGAATCATTTGTTGAACTTCTGATTCTGCCACCGGAACAAGGCAAGAACAGTGACCACTATGCCAACACAACTCTAACGGTTGAGACAGGCAGCAGAATGTAGACAGGTCCATTTGTCCAATTCCCATCCTTTTAAAAATAGTCACTTTTGTGTACCTCCTATCTCTCTTACCATCTTCACTTTTTCTATTCCCCTCTCCATCACCTGCACACTAAAGGAGCTGAGAAATCAATTCATTTTAACTCTCAACTGCTGCGGGATTAGCTCTTGTGGAAATCTTCTTCTTCTTCTTCTTGTTCACCGGCTGTAAACTCTGGCGGAAAGTTCTGGTCGTTCGTCCACTTCTGGACTGCATTCCTGAGTGTTGCGTGTGCATCCGTTTGACAGATCTGTATGCAGACTGTTGGTTCCTTGCCTCTCAGGCAGAAGCACTCCGGCTTCAAAGGAAGCTCCCAATTAGTCAACTCTTACTACATGCTTTTGGGTAGGCAATGGGTCTGTTCTTGTTTTTTCCCATAGTAGGGCCCCGGAACCCACACTGGGAGTTCTTGTGGAAATGACTCTCCCAAAAGAGGACCAGTGTATGCATCTCCCACCTCTCTTCCTATCTTCACTTTTTCTATTCCCTTCTCCATTACCTGCACACCAAAGGAGCTGAGAAATCAATCCATATCAACTCTATGCTTCTTGATTTTCTCCTGTGGAAATGAGCCACCAGCATATGCACCTCCCACCTCTCTTCCTATCTTCACTCTTTCTATTCCCTGCTTCATTATCTCCAAACCAAAATAGAGCTTCAAGTCAAAAAGCCAAAGTTACCTGCCGCTGCATCTGTTCCTGCCCCTGGGAAACTGTCTCTCCTAGTGAACCTCCAGCAAATCCCTTCCTAGGATAACACTTCCTTCACACCCCCCCCACCCCCCCCCCCCCCCCCAAAACAGAGCTGAAACCAACTGGAAAGAGGACAATCACAAATGAAGACTGTTTGATAAACATAGCAATGAACCTCAACAGCTCAGAATGCTGAAGAAGACAAATTACCCTCAATGGTCACTACTCACACCGCAGTCAAACTCTCTCTCTATTATGTGTGTATAAGTGCAAGTGTATGTATGGGTGTGAATGAGTGTGTATACAAATCCTTTTGTGACTGTGTCTTGTGTGTCTGGTAGTCTTAGTTTCAGCTTCATAGCAAACGGGTCACCCCATCTTTGCTCTGCTCCTGTGACAACAAAAAACACACAGAATGTTTATCACAGTCCCTTGTGAAAAGATTGACAGAATGCTGTCTCAGCATATCTAGCATACACACGCATTAAAGCATACGGTAGCCATCTGAAGTGCTAACACAAACAGTCCAAAATTAGAAATGCAGTTCATCATTGACGGTAGCATAAGTCACCAACAGATCTGCAGTTGCCCACGCGATCAATTTTAATCACATATGGGCACCACCAACATTGCCATGACAGGCATAGCGCCATGTTCTGAATCTACAATGTGACCACCACGTTGGTCACATTCGAAAAAACATTCCAAATGTAATCCACAGCTCACAGTGTCACACCATGCATTCAACTCAGAAGCTGGGCAACGAAACTATATCCAGGAGCAAAAATGCATTGGACACCGTCCGGCAGAAGCAAAAAATTTGTCTCGGCTCCAAACAGTGCCCCTACCTAGCGTCCATTTTGTCTGGAAGTCTTGTGTGTATGTGTCTGTATGTGAGTATGCATGCATGTATACATATGTATAAGCAAATGTATGTCAATGTAAGAGGAAGAAAAGGCCCCTTTTACATGCTTTCAGGCATACTGGCTATAAAGGGCTAGCCCTATATTTTATACCACAATTAGCACTCTATAGGTGATGGGGTCAGCATCAAGCTGGCTGCCTTTATTTCTCAGGGCATTACCTCGTACCCATTTAAGGCTGGGTCGACCTTATGTAACAAGGTAACTGTACCCTTTGCAAAAAAGTTGATTTGTTCGTTCATTCTCTCTCGCTCTCTCTCTCTCTCTCTCTCTTTCCAGGATGCCAAACTCACCTGCTGTTGCGCCTGCTCCTGTACAATCGACTCTGCCAATGAGCCTCCAGCATGGAACTCCACTCTGTCATCATTGCCAGTAAAAACAACATCTCCACTATCACAGCTCAGGACTGAAATCAGGTCATCCTCTTCGCCAGTCACACTGCCATTGTCCACGAGGACACTGTCCAGTGGTATCAGGATGCTACAGGGAGCAAACCCTTTCTTAGCTGTGGACACAACAGGCAATGAAGTAAAGAAATCAATGCCAACCAGGTGTTGCCTGCAGTCCTGTGCAGGTAAGGATGCAGGAGACAAATCCATCCTCAACTCTGTACATGACAGGAAAGGTAGAAGTACATACATTATTCATCATCTTTAAGTGCAACCTTTACAATGAAAGATGACTGTAATAATTCAAATACACCCTGTGCTGACTTAACATTTTCCTGTGAGCCTCAGTGACAGAGGTCAAGAGGTCACAGCATGACTAGCATGATCTGGGGAAATGCACTGCTTTAATGCTTCACTCTGTTCTTGTTCACTGATTACTCCTTTTAAATATTTTTATGCCCGGCTCTCTAGCGTAGTTGGCTAAACCGGATTGCGCGGTGAGCGGGTGACGAACTCCTTGTGGTCCGGGCTCACTTCCGGGGGTAGGCAGAAAAGCCACATTTCTCTCAGATTTACGACATTTACAATGGAATCAAGGCCGAAAGGTTGCGATATCCACAATACCGAGGGTTACCAACTTATGGCTTCTGGATACTAAAACAAACAAACAAATATTTTTATACACTCTGAAACAGAAATGTAAAAATATAAACACATTTTCAAACAATTTATTAGTTAGTAAAATAAAGGACCCTTTCCCAGGCCTTCAGGTGTATCGGGTAAATAGGGCTTGACCTATATTTTATAGACCAAACGGCACTTGGTGGTTGATGTGGTCAGCATCATGCCGGCCACCTTTACTTCTCATGACTGCGCCTGGTACCCACTCAAGGCTGGGTCAACCTGGCAGCCAAGGTCATTTTTGAAAAAATCTGGCCCTAGTCAGGACCTGAACCCACGACCTTCTGATCCGCAGGCGAGCTTCGAGCCGCCAAACCACGGCTGCTCTCAATTTATTAGTTATTTGTATCAATTAGTTTCTTTAATTTGTTCCTTTAGCTTCACATATTTTTTCGTGTGAAGGGGTTAAGGGAGTAAAGATATAGGATGTGGATACTTCTAGGTACCTTTCTTTTAGTTCACCCCATTTAGGGAAATCCGACAGTGCCTGGGATAGTCCAATATTACAGATAGGTTGAGCTTATGGTTAGAGTTAGTCGGCGCTCATTTCATACTGTAACACCTCTATTATATTGTACTTTCGCTAGGAGCTTTCAGATATGTGGTGAAGTAAAAAAAAAGTGCCTACTTCTTACCTCCATCATCAATAAACCATCGATCCTTCTGACCCATGGGATCCAGCTCCTTGATGACCCCGACTAGCACGCCCTCTGTCAGTGAGATATCCATGGCATCTGTGGCAGTGTAGGCAGAAGTGACCACGTACAGTTTACTGGCTGGATACTGTTTCTGCAGCAATGATTTCTGACTCTCAGTCTGGGAGCTGGGGGGAGCCTGTTAAAGAAATGTCGGAAATCAAAAAAGAAAAAAAATTAAGTGTTTTCACGTGCATGCATGTGTGTGAATCTTTCCTTATCTCTCTCTCTCTCCCTCTCTTCTTATTCTAATATTTTTAACTCCCCTTTTTTTCAAGTTAGTAGTGTATCCTTTACAGGATGTTGCAAATTTACGTCCAGTAGTTTGCCACTGCTTTCTGGACGGTCGGATCTCAATACCATTATCAAAACCAATGTTAGGTCTGCAGCTGGGATCGAACCCGGCATTACGAAGCGCGTTCAAAATGCCTAAGCCACAGACACAGACTTTAACTCCTGAGGCCTGCCAACTTTGTGGCCTACCAGAACATGCAACTTGAAGGGAAGAGAATTACAAATGAAGTCAACATTCTCAAAGGGTTAAAAGTTTAGAATAAAGGTACATCTAAAATTCTGATTTTTTCCCCTCTCACCCTTCATACTTTATGCCATTCATGCATGTCTCATTGGCCTAATCTGAAACTACAATAAATGCAACAGAAACGTGGAAAAATAATTATTCCATAACTAATCAGGTAATTGGGAGTTCACTGTGGTGTAGAAGCTTGCCTAAGGATCGGAAGGTCTGGGTTCAAATTCGCAGGCAGCCAGATTTTTCATACACGACCTTGGCTCCCAGTTCGACCCAGCCTTCAATGGGTACTAGGGAAAGTCCTGGAAAGTAAAGACAGCCAGCACGATGCTGACAACATCACCCATCAAGAGCCAATAGGTCTAAACAAATAAGAGTCTAGCCTTATATGTCCAAAGCACCACTGGATTGTAAAGGGATCTTTACCTTTATCATTTATTTAATTAGGCAGCTGCAGTAAGTCATAAGATAAAGAAGATAGCAACAGGTGGTATGCGCTCTGTAGAAAGCATCTGAAAATCGCACTCAACCTCCGTAACCTGGTTCTACACACCGGGTCATGCGGGGGTAAAGGGAAATGAGCGAGTGGACCAACTGGCAAGCACCGCACTAAGGGTTGCTGGAAAAAGCATGGACAGAGCAGATATCGTCAACGCTGTACGAACTGGGCTAGTGGAAAATGAGGAATCCCTGACACTAACATGATTGCGTGACATGGGAGTAAAGCATGGTGAAGCACTTCTTTGCCGTCTTTGAGGCCGAGATAGGAGACAATATAATCAGTTTCTCTTGGGAACAATTAGTAGAAGTACTTCAGAGTGGCTGCTGCTTCGGAGAACTGAGCACGCATGGGAATGCCCAATGCGAAGTGACATCAATTGTGATAACATAACATAACATCTTGTAGGGAGTCGGAAGTCCCAAAACCAAGTTCAAGGTGTCTCCTTCGTGCCAAAGAACTGCATGGCTGTTGGGTGAACAGTAGTTAAGGAAGGCAGTCAGGTTGTTGTAGGGGCGACGCTTGCTGGTGGATGTAATGTCCTAAGTCCCTTCCCCAGCTAATAGCGAGGGTACTGCTGGGGTGACCGTTTATTAACCCTCACAAAATGCTTCAGGTAAAAATGGACGTGGCAAATGAAAACACTTAAAATTACATTTTGTTGTTGAGAGACAATTTCTGTGGTGGAATGAACAAAAACAAAAACAGCAATGAAAACATATTAACTTACATTCTGTTGAGAAACACTTTCTGTGATGGTACGACCCTTTTGCTTGGCTCTGTCAGCCTTGATGGTGTCCATTCTGGGGTTAAATCCTTTTGGGATGAAGCTGAGTAAGGACAGCTGATCAAAGGCTGTCATGTGACGGGTTTTGAAGGACTCCATTAAAGGCATTTTATTTGCCATGAATGGCAGCTGCAAAGAGTTCAATGATTAAGTTTACTTCATTCTTCATGACATTTTCTTTAATCCTTTCAGGACTAGACAGATCCATGAAGTCCTCTTCTTCTTCTTTCTCTTCTTCTTCACGTTCACAGGCTGTAACCTCAGGTAGAAAATTACGGTTGTTCATCCACTTCTGAACTTTGGTCTTGCTCCACAACTCGAATTTTGTGTGCACATCCATTTTAAAGATCTGGCTTATTTGTATGCAGAATGTTGTTTCCTGGCATCTCAGGCAGAGGAACTCTCTTTGAAGGAAATGCCCCTAATAGTTGATTTTTTTTCAACATGCTAGTTAGGGGCAGTAGATCTGTTCTCACCACACCCCCCCCCCCTTTCCGCCCTTTTCCCTGCAACGGACCCACAGAACTCACACAGGGAGTTTTCTGCCATTTAAGTTTACCCCCAGTTTTGAAAAGATATTTTTTGGCTTCCCAACTCAACTTATATGCTACATTTTACAGTATATTTTAGAGAGCATCATGATGACTGGAAAGATCAACGGTTGAAGAGGCAGACCTAGAGAAATAATCCTGGACCGTCTAACACACTGACACGGAGGAATATCAGATCCAGGTCACCAAGGTAACCAGATCTGTGAAGGGACATTTATATCTATGCCAGTTGGTGTGATTATTTTATTTTGAGCTGTAGTTCAGTGTCATATCAAACATCTCCCAGTTTGGATTCCGAGCCCCACTTTGAGGGAGGAGGGAACAGACCCACTGCCTCCCCAACAAGCCTGTCATAAGAGTGGACTAATTAGGGGTTTTCAAAGTTGCAGTGTGTATGTCTGAGAGGCAAGGAACCACCAGTCTGCACATAAATGAGCCAGATCTGTAAAACTGATGTGCATATAAAACTCAAGTTGGGGAACAAGACTGAAATCCAGAAGTGGATAAACAGCTAGAACTTTCCATCAGAGTTCACAGTCAGTGAACACAAAGAAGCAGCAGATAACAAACAGAATAAAGACTTCGTGCAAGGATATGTGCATCACGACAGAACCTAGACCAGATGAACCAATGAGAGAGGAGAATGAAATTCGGGAAGTTTCACAACTGGAGGCTGACGTATGCAGTAGCAATACTGAACTGGTGACAAAGGCCACACATATAACAGTTTAGACACATAAATACGTAGTTTGTATTCGTGTGGGTGGCTGAATAACTTTAAGAAAGAGGACATACTTTACAGAGGAATATCAGCGCCATTCTCTATTTGCTGTGAAACAGTTGTGCATGTGCTCTTTCTGCAGCTTTGTTCATGTTTGACAGTATTCACAGAGAAAGCCTGATAACTGGATAAAAGTGATTTGAGACAGGACTTGGATTTAAGTGAGGAAGAGTTGCAACATTTGCTGACCTTACTCTTTCGCCTGTGTCAATCTTGATCCAGTAGCTGAACAATGCCTACGTCTTTGAGAATGAGAGAAATGCCTACCGGTCACCTGCTCTAACACCAGAGTGGAATAGATAGCATCATTACACGTTGCAAGGTCCTTAATAAAGGTGATAATTAACATACCTCCACTAAAGTACAGCTTTCCTTCAGCGATTTCTCCATGAAATCCCGCCTGGCAAGTACAAATACAGCAATGCAGTGTCTTAATATCGTCAGAGCCAGATCATAAAATTTGGGCAGCTCGTCAAGCAGTTGAGCATTCATGGCTTCGTAGTCACTTTTAGCCGCTTGCAGCTCCTGTTTTAGCACAATACTGTATATTATAAAAGACAAGCAAAATGCACTGTACTTTACAAAAGGCATTACAAAATGCTGTCACCTACCAGTTGGCCCCACTGCTTAGACACTCAAACGTCTCCCTTCCAGTTAAACAGCAAACGATTAATAGCAACTTTATCAAAAGATTAATAGCATTTTTATCCGTACTTTATGCTATCAGTGTCAAACATGGATAATGAATAGGGCACTAGAACAGAAAATAACTTCGGCCTTCCGGCATTGACAAGTTTTTGATGACATGACACCTTTGGGCAGAGACCAACAAGCTTACATAATAGCTCTGACACTGATTACAACTGCACACTGTATAGATGTGCTACACAAACAATTTTTGTGAGTTATTACAACTGCACACTGTGTAGATGTGCTACGCAAACAATTTTTGTGAGTTATTACTTGGGGTCAATAAAACTCCCATTTTCTTGGTCATAGGGAAGGAACACAGTTATTGCTTTGTTTTGTTTGTATTTAGTGATTACTTCCCTTTGCATAAAATAATGAATTTAAATATTGAAAATCCATCCTTTTGTTTTTCTTTACTTGGAGGCCTCAACAGCGAAAAAGCTAGCAGGCTTGCCTATCTGCTCGGTGGTCATGAGTTTCAACCTCCTGAATTTTTATAAAAATTGACCAAAACCCTAAACTTTTTCTGCTTCTTCTCTTCCTCCAGTTTGTAGGATAGAATCTGAGAAACTAAACGGTGTGTTCGTTTTAAAAATAAACTTTTAAAAGGTCATTGTTATCAGATTTGTACTGGTGAAGAGGTTTAAAAATGGCTTGAGAAAGTAAAATTAAGTAAAGGCTTGAGAAAGTAAGTTAAGGTTTCAGAAAGTAAGCTTGTTAAGTAAAGGTTTGAGGATGTAGGTTGATGAGTAAGGCTTGAGAAACTAATTTGTTAAATAAAGGTTTGAGAAAGGAAGTTGTTAAGTAAAAGTTCGAAAAAGTAAGTTGTCGAGTAAGGGCTTGAGAGACTTCGTTGTTAAATAAAGGTTTGAGAAAGCAAGCTGTTAAGTAAAGGTTGGAAAAAGTAAGTTGATATGTAAAGGTCTGACAAAGTAAGCTGTTAAGTAAAGGTTTGAAAAAAGTAAGCTAAGTAGCAGCTTTAGAAAGCATTTTTAAATTACAGGCTTTAATCATGATGTTAAGTAGGGCTTGAGAAAGTAGACTTGTAGGTAAAGCTTGAGGAAGTAAGCTTGTTAAGTAAAGGTTCAAGAAAGTTAGTTATTAAGTAAAGGTTAAGTTAGGTGCTGAGTCTAGTTAAAAACAATATGAGGCTAGCATCATATGCCTCAAAGAAGTGAAAAAGGTCCTTCAGTTTTTCATGATTACCTTATCATTTGCTGCCTTGCCAAGCAAATTGTTGTAATCCAGCAACTTGTCGAACCTCTTCTCTATTACTTTGACAGGGGCAATAAACAAGCCAACCAGAGTATTTAACGAGGTCACCACATTCTCCAGCGTCTCTTTCTGTCAGATGAAATAAAAGACAACCATTTGTCATGAGATACAAAAAATTGAATTGGCAGAGATGCTGCAAAGGAACATTGAATGCAAGCGTGACTTCTGCTTCTTCACTTTTCACAAGCTTTTTTGGTGAAAAACCTTCCATTTTCGTTCACTTCTATATTCTGGTTTTGTTCCAGAAAAGGAGCTTTGTATGCATATCAGTTTTACACATCTGGCTGATCTGTATGCAGACTGTTGGTTCCTCACCTCTCAGGCAGCAGCACTCTGACTTTCAAGGAACAGCTTTACACAGAATGCCATATCCATGACGGAGGGTGGTTTGCAGTGCATCAACTGCTGTTGTGGGGGAGAAGGAGCTGTGAGCCCAATCTTTTTCAAGGAGCGACACTGGTACCCCTGACATCAAGGCATGAGAACAGTTTCCTTTCCAAACCACCCCTCATGGAAACTGAGCCTCGGTAAGTCAAAATTGAATTGTGAAATTATTTCACTAACTCCTAAGTCATAAATCATGGGTTCGGGACCCGACGGAACCCGACTTTTTTCACAAATGACTTTGGCTTGCAGGTCGACCCAGCCTTAAGTGGGTGGGTGCCAGGTGCAGTCCTGGGAAGTAACACCGGCCGGCTTGATGCTGACACATCCCCCACCTAGTGCTAATCTGTCTATAAAATATTGGTCTAACCCTATGTGCCCAATACGCCTACAGGCCTAGAAAAGGGTCCTTTACTTACGTCCATCAGATGCTTAGCAGAGAAATTCAATGAAGAAAGCAAATGAATCTGTTTAATGACAACATACAGACTGTTGTCAAAAATACTGTTTTTGCACCATGGCTCCAGACAGTCACAAAAATAAAAGAGGCGGTTCTTCAAGGAACAGGCAAAGCTGTGAACTGTCTAAGGAAATTAGAGATGTTTTGGGCAAGATGTTTTGGGGCAAATTATGAGGAGAAATGAAAGTGACAACTGGCAAAATTGATGGGAAAGAGAGCAGGGGGTGGGTACAAAAAGATAAAGACTAGATGGCCAGGCAACATGGCTTGATTGAGACAAGAACACAGACATCATCCAAGACTGGGGGTCGTGTGTGAGATGGAGACCATGGCTGCTTAGGTTTATTGGCACAACTTAATGATGTTGAAGAGCTGTGATAGAGCTTGGACTAGATGCTTGCCTGTTGGCTCAAATGTCCTGCGTTTGAATCTGCAGTGAGGCAGATTTTATATTTAACCCAGAGCTCCCAAGCTAAACTGGTTCTTCTTCTTCTTCTTCTTTACCTTCACTGGCCGTAAACTCTGGAGGAAAGTTCTGCTTATTTATCCACTTCTGGACTTGTCTTATTCCAGAACTTGAGTTTTGCATGCACATTCGTTTTACAGATCTAGCTTGTTCGTATGCAAATGTTGGATGTTGGTTCCTTGCCTCTCAGGCACATGCACTCCAACTTCGAAGGAAACACCCCTAAAAAGTTGACTTTTACAACACGCTTGTTAGAGGAGGCAAAGGGCCTTTTCTTCTCCCCCCCCCCCCCCCTCCACCCAAACCCATAATGGGTTCCTTCTGAAACCAGACGTGGATAAAGTGGTCTAAAATGGGAACCAGGAACTGTCTTGGGAAATAAAGTGCTCTAATGCAATGTAGGCCATATCACCCACCAAGTAACTGGTTTATAAAAATATGGGTTTAACACCATATGCCTGATACGATAATGTCATGACAAGTATCCTTCATCTTTACCGACACTGATAATGACGAAGAAATTCCGAAAGCATTACAAGGCAACTTTTTGTTCACCTTTAGAACGGTGGACGGTTCTTGTGATACGATTTACAGCTGGGCTGCGATATTTGCACTTTTTTACCCAATACATCTGATTTCAACAAACCCTCAGTTAGTCGCCTCTTATGACATGCTTGTTTAGGGGCAGTGGGGAGAATTTTTTTCACCCTAAAACCGAGACCCAGAACCCATAAAGGAAGTCATAGGGCAAAATGTTGCTGATCTGTAGTTGAGTCGAGTCAAGAGTTGACATCACAGCACTCGGGGCATTCCCATGTGTGCTCCATCCTCATCTTCAGCAGCCAGCGCAGAGTTCCAATACTGATGGTACTGGTCACAATCTGATTATATGTCCATCTTGCCTTTTCTCTGAGTGTAGTGAGCCAGCCAGACCCTCTGGTTACACCCAGTGCCAGTGCCTCTTCTCACCAGGCCATAATAATCTTGTTTCTCTACTGATTCCTTTGCTTGTTCCCAAAGGACCTTGACCACATCTGCCTTGCCATGTATCAATTCTGATCATGCTGATCTGTATTTATTTCCAACCAAAAAATGTCAACCAAATATTTCTCCAGTATATATAAAGAACTTATAATGGTTAATTAACTCTTTCAGTCTGAAAGCAGTTGTTATTTAAATACTTTTTATTCCAAGAAACTGAGCTTACAAGCAATAAACATTGTGGTCAGATAGAGTTGAACAATAGCACTTCAGTATAGGAGTAGTTGATCTAATAATACAAATAAAAATGGTTAAAGTAACTTCTATCTTTAATAGCAGACTGTAAAAATATAATATCTTTGGAGTGACCAAGAAACGTATGGTGAGTTATTTAGTACTTGGGGATTGATTGTTGAAATGTATTACCACAAGCACTTACCATGACATCGTATAATACCACCAGTTTGAGTGTTATCTGGTGCAGCTTGGTTGCTTCCTCACATTCCTTGTCCTTGTAGAAATCTTTGATGCCTTCTGCTACAATCTCCTGGCACTGCATGGTCTCCTAAGAATGTACAGTCATAAATATATATACTGAATGTTCATTATTCCAACATATGAAATTCCGTCCTCCTTCCTTCTTTGCGTTCACCGGCTGTAAACTCCTAGGTAAAGTTCTGGTTGTTCATCTTCTACCGAGAGCGTTGCATAAAACATTAAATCTGTATCCCCAGTAACAATACCTAGGGATTCTCCCAAAAATTCAATTGTGAACCAAATGACAGTCTGTAAAACAAGCAAACCCATGACTTTAAAGTGTGAAGCAAATGACAGTCTGTAAAACAAACAAACCCACGACTTTAAAGTGTGAAGCAAATGACAGTCTGTAAAACAAGCAAACCCATGACTTTAAAGTGTAAAGCAAATGACAGTCTGTAAAACAAGCAAACCCATGACTTTAAAGTGTGAAGCAAATGACAGTCTGTAAAACAAGCAAACCCATGACTTTAAAGTGTGAAGCAAATGACAGTCTGTAAAACAAGCGAACCCATGACTTTAAAGTGTGAAGCAAATGACAGTCTGTAAAACAAGCAAACCCATGACTCTAAAGCGTGAACCAAATGACAGTCTGTAAAACAAGCGAACCCATGACTTTAAAGTGTGAACCAAATGACAGTCTGTAAAACAAGCGAACCCATGACTTTAAAGTGTGAAGCAAATGACAGTCTGTAAAACAAGCGAACCCATGACTTTAAAGTGTGAAGCAAATGACAGTCTGTAAAACAAGCAAACCCATGACTTTAAAGTGTGAACCAAATGACAGTCTGTAAAACAAGCAAACCTATGACTTTAAAGTGTGAACCAAATGACAGTCTGTAAAACAAGCGAACCCATGACTTTAAAGTGTGAAGCAAATGACAGTCTGTAAAACAAGCGAACCCATGACTTTAAAGTGTGAAGCAAATGACAGTCTGTAAAACAAGCGAACCCATGACTTTAAAGTGTGAAGCAAATGACAGTCTGTAAAACAAGCGAACCCATGACTTTAAAGTGTGAAGCAAATGACAGTCTGTAAAACAAGCGAACCCATGACTTTAAAGTGTGAAGCAAATGACAGTCTGTAAAACAAGCAAACCCATGACTTTAAAGTGTGAAGCAAATGACAGTCTGTAAAACAAGCGAACCCATGACTTTAAAGTGTGAAGCAAATGACAGTCTGTAAAACAAGCGAACCCATGACTTTAAAGTGTGAAGCAAATGACAGTCTGTAAAACAAGCGAACCCATGACTTTAAAGTGTGAAGCAAATGACAGTCTGTAAAACAAGCGAACCCATGACTTTAAAGTGTGAAGCAAATGTGCTGACCACTTCATCATGGAGTACACTATAGATTTCTTTACATGGCATCGGCACATCAAGCATATAAGACTAGACAGTTATTTTTATAGACCAATCGGCCCTCAGTGGGTGATGTGGTCCACATCATGTCAGCCGCCTTTACTTCCCAGGATTTTACCTGCTACCCACTGGGTCAACCTAGAAGCCAAACTCATGCATGGGGGGGGGGGGGGGGGGAAATTCCAGTTTCATGTGCATTTGAATCCAAGACCTTCAGATCCACAGGCAAGCATCTAGCTGCTACACCATGGTGGCTCTATGGAGAACCCTATCAATTAATATTCTAGTGACCTTCCTTTGACTGTTACCATATCTCTATACAGCACAGTCTACGAATGAATTCTTTTGTTGACGCTTTTCCCTCTTTCCAGAAAAGTGTTATATTGTGATGGAGCAGTGGTTCTCAACCTTCTTAATGCTGCACCCTTTAACACACAATTATTTTTGTTGCTACTTCATAACTTCAATGAATATTTGTTTTCTGATGGTCTTAGGCAACAACTGTGATAGGGTGGTTCAAGCCACAAAAAAAGGGTTGCGACCCGCAGGTTGAGAACCTCTGTGACATATGGAAACATGGGAATCTTTCTCTCCATAGCACAAAGTCTAGGCAGCATTTTAGAGATAGTATGCCACCCATGGAGCATGAACCATCTCTCAGTCTGCCTTGTTTACTTCAAAGAAAAGCTAAAACCAATATACCTGGAACAAAGCAAGCTGCAGAAGCTGCCGGATCAGAAGAGCAGTGCTCTGTCCGCCTGCCTGTCGGAGTTTCCTTCCTAAACTTACTGCCAACTAAAGCTAAGGGCTTGAAGACTGTACATGCACAATACTAGATGTTCGTTACTTACACACAAGTTAAAAAAATATACCAGTAGTTTTCTCAGCTGACTACAACTCGGGACTGTAGATCTTGGTAATAAAAAAAAAAAAACAAAGCCGCACAGTAGAACTTCGTAAAGAAGAATTCCAAGGAATTGAAAAATCAACAATTCCTCCTAAAAAAATGTGCACTAAACACAGGTTAATACAATCATGTAGAGATGTTTACTGTGTTCACGTTAAATGAATGTTCTTCTAAAGCGAGTTTGTATTATTGAGGTTTTGCCTCCTTTCTTCTTCTTCCTCTGCCACCTTCCCTCTCAGAATAGTCCTTCATGAGTGGTTAGATTTTGCAGCTAAAGAGCTGCTGCTGAATGAAGAAGCCCTATCTATTGCCAACCTAGGTTTAGGTTTAGATGACGGATCACCATCATGGCACAAGCGTAGGGATTCCATCCCCAAAACTGAAACAACTGCACGGAATAGAATGGAATGGAAGAAAAAATGCAATCCTTATGTGACGTATAACTTAGCAGCAGAATGACGATGATATTGTGCTTTCCTTATGGCCCTCAGTAACACACACGCACGCACACGCTCACACGCAGGCACACACACACACACACTCACACAAACGAACACACACACACACTCACACTCTCTCACTCTCTCTCTCTCTCCCTCCCTCCCTCCCTCCCTCCCCCTCTCTCTCTCTCTCTATCTCTATCTTTCTCTCTCTCTCTCTCTCTCTCTATCTCTCTCAAACACATTGGATATTTTTGGGGGGTTAAAGTATTCATAAAAGTGTAAATGGAAATGGGCATTAATAAACACTATAAGATGATTATATCAACCTGGCTTTGATCCAAAAACTGAATGACACCACGAAGAAAAACTTTCACTGCTCTTTCCAGATGGCGAAACTTTGCTTCTTCTTTCTCAAAATGTTCATCCCTCATCTGAAAATATTAAATGTGCGGCAAAAGATTATAAGCAGATCATAATTAAAGGAATGAAACATGAAGACCATTTACAAGTATACACCCAACCACACAGACACACACATATAAATTTAAAAAAAAAACTGTGAAAACACAGTTCATTAGCAAATACTTAATTAAACACAAACATCAATATGTACAACTATTTCAAGGTTTCGGAGCCCTATTTAAATGGTGGCCAGAGGGCCAAATCTGTTACATGGAGGCCTAGCAACTGGTCTGTCCACAGATCACTGCCAGTAGTATAGCATTAATGATTTTTCTATGCTTGGGCTAGAGCATAATTGTCAACACTTTGGTCCCTGAGTAAACTTAGTTGAACAGCTCCGTTTAGAAACTTAACAAATAAGATCTCTCAACAACAAACATTAATATATGTAATACCATTCCAAACTTCTAGCAAAATAAACATAAGTATGTAATACTATTTCAAGTTCTTGAGACTTCACAAGTAATTCACTTCAAAACAGACAACAATATCTACAATCATTTCAAAGTTCTTGAAACCTCACAAATAAATCGTTTCACCACAAACATCAGGGGTGCTGAGTGGTCTCAAGGCATGGTGTCTGCCTCGAGTGCTAGAGGTTCCCGGTTCAATCCCCGGTAAGAGCTGGAATTTTTTCACGTGGACTTGAACTTCTAGCAATTCCCCTTGTCTCTTGGTAGTGAGAACGGATGCCCATTTGCATTGTTGTGCACACAAAAAATCCCTTGGCAGTTAGAAATTGAAAAGAGTGGCCTAACGGCACTTCCTGGGCGAAATTTCGAGTTAAAAATCTACCCAAAGTAATTCAGGATCCTCACCGGTGCTGCAGAGCCTATGCAATGCGCTGAACTTCTTCGGACTCAGACTTGAGTTAGTTCTTGAGACCTCATAAATGAATCGTCTCACCACAAACATTAAAATCTACAATTATTCCAAATTTATTGAGACCTCACAAATGAATCATTTCACCAAAAACATTAATATCTACAACTATTTCAAATTTATTGAGACCTCACAAATGAATCGTTTCACTACAAACATTAATATCTACAACTATTTCAAAGTTCTTGAGACCTCACAAATAAATCGTCTCACCACAAACATTAATATCTACAACTATTTCAAATTTATTAAGACCTCAAAAATGAATCGTTTCACCACAAACATTAATATCTACAATTATTTCAAATTTATTGAGACCTCACAAATGAATCGTTTCACTACAAACATTAATATCTACAACTATTTCAAAGTTCTTGAGACCTCACAAATAAATCGTCTCACCACAAACATTAATATCTACAACTATTTCAAATTTATTAAGACCTCACAAATAAATCATTTTACCATAATCATTAATATCTACAATTATTTCAAATTTATTGAGACCACACAAATAAATTGTCTCACCACAAACATTAGTATCTACAACTATTTCAAAGTTCTTGAGACCTCACAAATAAATCGTCTCACTACAAACAATAATATCTACAACTATTTCAAAGTTCTTGAGACCTCACAAATAAATCGTCTCACCACAAACATTAATATCTACAACTATTTCAAATTTATTAAGACCTCACAAATGAATCGTTTCACCACAAACATTAATATCTACAATTATTTCAAATTTATTGAGACCTCACAAATGAATCGTTTCACTACAAACATTAATATTTACAACTATTTCAAAGTTCTTGAGACCTCACAAATAAATCGTCTCACCGCAAACATTAATATCTACAACTATTTCAAAGTTCTTGAGACCTCACAAATAAATCGTCTCACCACAAACATTAATATCTACAACTACTTCAAAGTTCTTGAGACCTCACAAATAAATCGTCTCACCACAAACATTAATATCTACAAATATTTCAAATTTATTGAGACCTCACAAATAAATCGTCTCACCACAAACATTAGTATCTATAAATATCTCAAAGTTCTTGAGACCTCACAAATAAATCGTCCCACCACAAACATTAATATCTACAACTATTTCAAAGTTCTTGAGACCTCACAAATAAATTGTCTCACCACAAACATTAATATCTACAACTATTTCAAAGTTCTTGAGACCTCACAAATAAATTGTTTTACCACAAACATTAATATCTACAACTATTTCAAAGTTCTTGAGACCTCACAAATAAATCCTCTCACCACAAACATCAAAATACCTGCAATGCTATTCCAAAGTTGGTGCTGAGTCTGCCTCGGATTCTACTGGACTTCTTTCTGATAGAATGCATGTTTAACTTGGATATCTTGTCACTGAAAGTCTGGTCTGTCAACTTCTTATACTTGTATACTAGTAGGCAGAAGAAGAAAAAAAGATTTGAAAAGGTGTTAAAAGATCAGAATATTAATTCCATTGCAGGCTTGATAAATTTGGGCGAGGGGGAGGAGTGGTTCAAAGTGTCTGAGCAAAATAAGACTTGTGTAGGGTTCTAATCACTTTAGTTGTGAGTGCAGGTACTGGCCAGCTGGTGCTGCAGAATCAGAAGCTCAAAAAATGATTCGTGGCAATTCCTGACCAGGTGACACGATTATCTATACAGCTGGCTTTGTGTCGAGAGGCAGACGAAGTACATGGGGGTTCATAGCAAACGCGAATGGACAGCACTTAGTGCAACAAAGACCGTCATATGATATCACAACGTCTGTTTGGAGAATGGAGGTGAAGACAGCCACTGCTGCTTTCTGCTAGCTTGAGAATCAGCTGTACACACATGTCGTAATTGTAATCGACTTACAAAGCATGTTGAGAAAGTTGGAGACAGGCATGCTCAGTGCAGAGTAGTGGCAAGCATCGCTTCAGAGGTCCCGGCCAGTTATTTTCCTTTTGATATTTTCTCCATGTTATGCCGGATGTCAGGGTGTTGGGAAACGAGCAGGCCAAAACTAGCCAGTTTTGCACCACTTGGTGGTGAATTAAAAGCTAGAATGTTGTGAGGGTCCTTTGAGAGCAAGTGAACGGTGCACAAACAGATCATTATGGTCTGGGAAGAATGGAGCTACCAGGGGATCTAGCCAACCCTCAACAGTCAAGGAAAAGATCAGACGGATATACAATCAGAAAGTTACTGGTGCCATCGAAATTTGAATTTTTTGCTTGCTGCTGAAAATGGGGATGGAGCGCTTATGGGAGTGTCCCGATGTTAGTTCTTGATTCAACATTCCATTGCACCAGGTTTTTACCCATATGGCTCAGTCTATTTCTGCAGAACAGCTGGCAACCTTCTGAAAGCACAGCTAATTACTGATTAAAGAATCGACATTACATACATTACATACCCCCCACAGATGCTCCGCCTCCCAGGATTTACATCTTAAGGTGTAGATGCTGACTGTTCCAGTACCATACTGGCTGTACACACATAAAAATCTTCCTCTTATGCTTACTTTCTTGCTGTATCCCCTCTTAATTCAAAATTCACACAACCTTACACATATTGTTTCAATTAACACCATAAGTTTCATCAGCGATGAAACAATAACAAACTACAGGTCAGAGCCTGAAATCAAACTCATGACCCTTCAAAGCATGAGTAGAAAAATAATTCAACCACTTCATCACAGAAACCCTTCTGCCCAAATGCTGAATAAGTAATCTCTTTCTCACTGACATTGACTGCCAGAAGGGTTTACACATCATGTTTCCTTGAGGACCTCCATATGGTATTTAGGCTTTGTTTTCACAAAATTTAAGTTCCAAATGATACAAAACAAATGCTCTTCTATTAGACTTCAGAGAATAGAGTGGCAATCATGGCTTCAGAGGTTCTGGGTAGCTAGTGTCCTTTGGATAATTTCTCCAGGGCATGGAGTTGTGGTGGGAAATTAACAGCCATGCGGATTGGCTGGCTCTCCACTACTTGCCAGTAACCAGATGCACGACAAGCTACATATGGTCAGAGTTCTTACACTGTGATCTGTAACACTAATGCTTTTATGAGATAATTATGACGTCACTTTTGCTCTAAAACAGCCCTTTTATGCATACGCAACTCCCCCTAAATACCATTTTTAACAAATATATTCATATACTGACCTTTTTCTAGCTATCGCTCTCTGTTTACACTGACATAAAAGTTCTTGTGATATAACTGACTGCTTTTTGGATTTCTCTAGTAGTTTAATACATCTGTGAGTTCGGTGTTGACTCACTGGGCCAGCTTTCCTTTCTTAATGGGCTGCACAAGGGACAAACTTGCAGGACATGTTCTGCAGTTTGTACACGCAGCCCACATGAGCATATCGGTGAACTATTATTTAAACAAGGGGAGTCGAAGTGGCGTAGTGGCTAGACACTCGCATGCTGATCGGAAGGTCATGGGTTCGCTCCCTGGCGGAGCCGGACTTTAAAAAAAAATGATCTTGACTCCCAGGTCAACCCAGCGTTGAGTGGGTATCACGTGCAGGCCCGGGAAGTAAAGGTGGCCGGTGTGATGCTGACCACATCACCCATCTTGTGCTGATTGGTCTATACAAATATAGGTCTAGCCCTATATCTCCTATACACCTAAAGGTGTGGAAAGGGGACTTTTATTTTTTTACTTTTGTTTTGTTTTGTTATTTAAACAAAGCCTATGCGTGTTACTGTTAAGTTTATCCTGACCTTCTAAATACTACAAAGGCAGAAACACTACCAAGTTTCATAAAAAACCATTGTAGAAATGCCGGTTAAGTAGGGCAACAGAGAAAGAAATGAAGTAGAACAATAAGATACTCACCAAGATCCTTGCGCCTTTTATACTCATTGATAGCTTTGGCCACATCCGTTATGGCCGTGATGGCAGCCACAATATCTTCTCTGTCTGGGTGATCTGGTTCTGTGTTCTGTGGGAAATAAAAAACAACCACAGAGGAGGTCAATAAAATCTTCCTGTGTGCACTAGCTGTAAACTGCAGCAATAAATTCTGGTTGTTCATCCACTTCTGGACTTTGGCCTTGTTACAGTTTTTCCTGCACATCTGTTTTACAGATCTGGTTTACTTGGATCCGGCAGGTTCCTCACCTCTCAGACAGATGCACTATGACTTCAAAGAAAACATCCTTAATTTGTTGTCTTGTATGACATACTTGAGGTTGGATGTGGTGGGTCTGTTCTTTTTGCCCCCAGATTAGGGCCATAGGACCCACATGGAGAGTCAATAAAACATATCGGCTGAATTATAATTCTAAGAAAGACAGTTATTTAATGATGTTTCATCTCCTCAATGAAGGTTGGCTTTGGCATACCCCCTGCTGTCTCTGGGAAAAACACGTGGAGTGATCCTAGTCTTTTTTACGGTGCAACTCACATACTACTGTCTGAAAAATGACGAGACAGGAGTTTATTTTAATAAACTGTCCACTGTGGAAATCAAACCCTAGTACCTGATGATACTGGAATTGTTAAACACAGTCATTACCCTCAGCCACACAGTGCAAGGTCAATAGTTACAAATAACAGCGGAAAAAACTGCAATATGGTAATTTTGTACATTTTTTCATAAAATAAATTTAAAAACACAGAGAAAAAGCAGGCAGACAAAACTAAAACTTAGGCTATCATTAGCCTTAAATCAGGTCAGTGGCCATTTTCCTTTGGTCTTGTTCCAGAAATTTAGCTTTAGTTTTGCATGCACATCTGCTTTACAGATCTGTCTTACTTGTGTGCAGACTATTAGTTCCTCACTTCTCGGGCAGATGCAGTCTGACTTTGAAAGAAACACCTCTAATTGGTCAATTTTTATGGCATACTTGTTAGAGTAAGAAGGGAAGGAGGAGGGAACTGGGGGTTGATTCTTGTTTTTCCCCAAAATGGGGCTCCGGAACCCCTATTGTGACTGAGTAGGTCATCAAAATGTCTTCTTCTTCTTCTTCTTAAGGTTCACCGGCTGTAAACTCCAGCCGAAAGTTCTGGTTGTTTATCCACCTCCGGACTTTAGTCTTGTTCCTGAACCTGGCTACTGCATGGACATCCATTTTACAGTTTAGACGTATTCATATGCAGACTCTTGGTTCCTTGCCTCTTGGGCAGGTGCACTCCAACTTCGAAGGATGCACCCGAATAGTTGACTCCTACTACATGTTTGTTGGGGAGGCAGTGAGTCTAGTCATACTTTCTCCACAACTGGGCCCCAAAACCCACAAGGGGAATCAACCTATTTTACACAAAACATTTACTTTTAATTATACTGCGACAGAATGAGCCGTTAAAATATTTTACACCAAACATTTAGTCTCAATCACACGGTGAATGGATAGGCCAGACCTTTCCAACTTACGGAAACTCACCACTTAAACAAAAAGTCCCAGCTATCAATTTTTCATAATTGCCATTTTTGCTAATTCTACATAACCACTTGTTTGGCTATTGTCCCGTAAATTTGTTTTTTAAACAATTCAAAACTGGGCCAGTTTTTGTTGTTGCAACTGTTAACTCTTTCTGTCCCTGGAGTTACCAGAGTAGTAAAACTTCAACCAAACACTCTTAAGTGATAAGCTTTCAAGTGAGTCAGACAGATGCTCCTTGAAATCAGAGCAGTGGCATTGTGACTTAGAGGTTAGTAAATGTGTTTCACAATCTAACAATCCTTGATGCACCAAGGTGCATTTAGTGGCTTTCAGACAGTGGAACGAGAGTTGCACCATGGAAGAAATTAGGGCTACTCTGTAGTAATGCACCTGACAAGATACACTGAAATATACCAAGCAATAAATTGTGAAATGTATTGTTTGTGCCCACATTATTTAAATAAAAAAAAAAAAATGTTTGATCTGCCTCATGGATTTGAATCCCAGACATTCAGACCAGCGGATGAATGTTTAGTCAGTACACTCCCGCAGCTCTCTCCCAGAAAAAAAAATCCTGCCTTTTCTGGGAACTGAACCCAGACCACTCTTATCAGACAAGGACACTAGCCATAACACTACCAACTCCCACGACTGCATTCTGATATGACATACTGACTGACACACAATTACGGTAGCATGCAAAGGCATTAAACAGGCACCTGAATTTCAATGTCTGGGAACAACATTCACTAAAGATGGAAAACTGAATGAAGAAATGAACACTCAATTCAGTTAAGCGAACCAAGTATTGGGACAGTTAGGTGGAAAATTGGATCAAGGAATTAACAGCCGATTCAGTTAAGCAAATAAGTACTGGGACATCTAGCCACGCCCCCCCCCCCCTTTTTTTTTCCCCCTTCACAGCATAAGGTTATTGCAATCAGCACAAAGAAACATCCCATACAAAGTATATTCATTCCCACTCTATGCTACCAGTGCCAGACATGGTCACTCATAAAAAGCCAGAACAGAAAATTAGTAACCACAGGAAATTTCTGAGAAAAGATGCAAGGGTGAACAGAAGAGATAAAATCAGGAATTACATACAAAGACAGTCAATCAAATGGTTTGGTTACTGAGAGAGAATGCTGTGTAATGCCTCACCCTTCAAGGCAACAACAACAAAAAAGAGGAGAATGATGCAGAGCACAAGGAAGAGCAAGACCAAAATGGACAGATATTGTTAAAAAAAACCTCTACAACAGTACAATGTGTCTATGGTTGAGGTACCAGAAGAGCAAGAAGCAGTAAAAAAGGAAGTGAAGAAGAAGAAGAATAGACTGGTGCACACGTAGAACATACAATCAAATAGGGTCTGAGACAGCAAGAGTTAACATCTATAACTGCAAGCCAGGTGCCCTATTTCCCACCTACCTCTACAATGCATAAACTGCAAGATTATATTTTGTATAGCTTGTATAAAGCAGTGGTTCTCAATTAGCTAAGGCCTGAAAACCCTTGTTTGTTTCTAAGGTCTGCAAAAGACCTCAAACTTTTTACTAGTCATTCTAAAGCAGTGGCTCTCAACCTTTCAAATGCTGGAACCCTTTAAAACAGTTCTTCATATTGTGGCGACCCCCAATCATAGAATTATTTTCCTTGCTATTTCATAACTTCAATGAATATGTGTTTTGTGATGGTCTTTGGCGACCCTGTGAAAGGATTTTTCCCGCAGCTATCACTTTTGTAGCCATAAAATCTGCTCTTTCATTCCCTCCTACTCCTACATAACCCGGACAGCACATCCACATGATTCACTGCAACGTTGATGTACTAATGCTTGGTATCTACTCATGCCACATTTGTCCATTTGGGGTGGGGGGAGGGGGGGGGGGAAATGCTATTAATGATCCTTAAATATGTTCTGCAGACCCCAAGGGATCATCTGGAGTAGAGATGGGAAACACTGGAGGAAAGCACAGACATCACAGATAAGAAAGTAAAAATGTGTTATCTGTTGCTTTTTCTAGACATGTGTTGGTGTGTATTTTTGTGACACTAATTCTGAAATGCAGTTTAATCTTTCTGCCACTGTTGAGAGTGTTTGTTATCTATAAAGATGATGATGCAGCCATAGTAAAAACAAAAGAAACATATCTTTGATAATTTGAAATTTTGCACAAACGACTAGACCTCCTTGTGACCTCTATGGTCAGCAATATCTTTTCATAAGTAAGGGAGCAGACACAGAGGTTGCCTAGGGTCTGTTATTCACTGAAATGTGTGTGCACACCCCCCCCCCCCCACTCCATCTGTTTCCCACTCTTTCTCATTACAGACACCTTTCCTAGAGAAAACCTACAGGATTTTAAGCAAATTGTATATTTCCTCCTAGAGTTTTACATTAAGTACAATGTTTGCTTACAAATGTAGTCTCAATCACAGCACATTACAGCTACGTAAGTAAAAAGTAGATGTTGTAGGTGTTGTTAATTGTTAAATTTAAATGATGCATGAATAGAATAATGTATGTGAGGAGTTAGACCAAAAAGGCGGAATATAAGACGAGCCTGTGTGCACAAATTTTAATCTTCTGGAAAGAAAGTTTGTTTGTTTCTCTCTCTCTCTCTCTCCCTCTCTCTCTTTTTCTCTCTCTCTCTCGCTCTGGAGCAAGGTAGCGGTCCAGATATTACACTAGCCCGCTGGCCCAGTAATCATGTGTTCAAATCCTTGCCGAGGCAGATTTTAAAAACTAGCCTAAAAATTATGATCAGGAAATCCCTGTGTGGGTTCACCATTCTGGAGAAAAAAAATAGACCAACACCCCCCCCTTCTCCCCCCCCCCCCCCAACAAGCATGTCGTAGGAGGCGACTAATTTGGGGTGCTTCTTTTAAAGTCAGACTGCATCTGCCTGAAAGACAAGAAACCAATAGTAGTCTGTATACAAATAAGCCAGATCTGTAAAACAGATGTGCATGCACAACTCAAGTTCAGGATTAAGACCCAAGTCTAGGAGTGGGCGAACAACCAGAACTTTCTGCTGCAGTTGACAGCTAGTGATGCTAAGAAGAAGAATAGTACTGGGACAGTTTAAGGTTAGGTCGGGTGTGAGCCATAGTCATTTTTACAACAACAACAAATTTTGCAATTGTTGTAAATCTGGTTTGATGCGGGTTCAAACAAAAGATTTTTGGGCCGGGGGTGAGCGTCTACCACTACACCAGCTCGGCTCTCGTTATATTGGATAGCCTGTGGTCATGAGGCAATCCAATCTACTATCTAATCTGAGTAGTAATACTGTACAACAGTGGTTCTCAAACTGGGTGCCGCGAGTGTTTGCTAAGGGGGAACACGACAATAAAGAAAAATTCATCCAAAGTACCCTTCATCGCATTAAAGACAACTGAACATTAAATGTGCACTGTTTTTTCTTCTTCTCCTAAGTATTGAAACCGCTTTAAGGGTAGCTGTGCTGCAAGAAAAATTGAGAGAGACAAGGGTGCCGCGACAAAAAATTTTGAGAACCTCTGCTGTACAATGCCAAAAATAAACAACTTACTTTCAGTAACTCATTCAGCAAGAGGGGGTACTTCAGTATCCGTTGCACCGGCTTTATGAGGACTCCAGCCACATCAAAGACATTCATCTGCTCCCTCATCTTCTCAATCTTCGTGTTGAAATAATCATTGATTTCAGAGCTGTCGATATACCGCTCCATGGCCGCCAGAACATCGTCATGATTTCTACAATATGGGGCATATGTGTTTCTCATATCTTCGGCAAAATGGGTGAAGCACTTTCCTGCAAGGCACAATAATTATTATTATCAAAACAGAACCCTAAAAGTTACTTTACCTTTTTACCTTTACAACCAGAAGAAGGTTTTTCTGGGAGATGCCAATGAATAAATATAATATTATTATTAATAACGGGAGAAGCCAGATTTCTTGAGAGTGGTCTGACAAAATATGAAACATAAGACACATTAAGCTAAGGACGAGACTCAGCAGAAAGGGTGATTCCCACATTATGGGTTGTTTAGGACTCAAAGAGTTATTGCTAGAAATAGCATACAAATTATCATAAAACATATCTTTCTGCCGTTTATTCTTTAAAGACAAATGTCTGTGACAAAAGATGAAGTAATAAATGGTTCAACAGAATAAAGTTCTTCTTCTTTATGTGTTTTGGATGTACATCCTGAAAGTCCTGCTTGTTTGTAAGCTTCTGAACTTTAGTCTTGTTCTAGGACTTCTTCTTCTTTGCATTTGCCAGCTGTAAACGCCAGTGGACAGTTCTGGTTGGTCATCTACTTCTGGACTTTAGAATTGTTCCAGGACTTCTTCTTTGCATTTGCCAGCTGTAAACTCCAGTGGACAGTTCTGGTTGGTCATCTACTTCTGGACTTTAGTCTTCTTCTAGGACTTCTTCTTCTTTGCATTTGCCAGCTGTAAACTCCAGTGGACAGTTCTGGTTGGTCATCTACTTCTGGACTTTAGTCTTGTTCCAGGACTTCTTCTTTGCATTTGCCAGCTGTAAACTCCAGTGGACAGTTCTGGTTGGTCATCTACTTCTGAACTTTAGTCTTGTTCCAGGACTTCTTCTTCTTTGCATTTGCCAGCTGTAAACTCCAGTGGACAGTTCTGGTTGGTCATCTACTTCTGGACTTTAGTCTTGTTCCAGGACTTCTTCTTTGCATTTGCCAGCTGTAAACTCCAGTGGACAGTTCTGGTTGGTCATCTACTTCTGGACTTTAGTCTTGTTCTAGGACTTCTTCTTCTTTGCATTTGCCAGCTGTAAACTCCAGTGGACAGTTCTGGTTGGTCATCTACTTCTGGACTTTAGTCTTGTTCCAGGACTTCTTCTTCTTTGCATTTGACAGCTGTAAACTCCAGTGGACAGTTCTGGTTGGTCATCTACTTCTGGACTTTAGTCTTGTTCTAGGACTTCTTCTTCTTTGCATTTGCCAGCTGTAAACTCCAGTGGACAGTTCTGGTTGGTCATCTACTTCTGAACTTTAGTCTTGTTCTAGGACTTCTTCTTTGCATTTGCCAGCTGTAAACTCCAGTGGACAGTTCTGGTTGGTCATCTACTTCTGAACTTTAGTCTTGTTCCAGGACTTCTTCTTTGCATTTGCCAGCTGTAAACTCCAGTGGATAGTTCTGGTTGGTCATCTACTTCTGAACTTTAGTCTTGTTCCAGGACTTCTTCTTCTTTGCATTTGCCAGCTGTAAACTCCAGTGGACAGTTCTGGTTGGTCATCTACTTCTGAACTTTAGTCTTGTTCCAGGACTTCTTCTTCTTTGCATTTGCCAGCTGTAAACTCCAGTGGACAGTTCTGGTTGGTCATCTACTTCTGGACTTTAGTCTTGTTCTAGAACTTCTTCTTCTTTGCATTTGCCAGCTGTAAACTCCAGTGGACAGTTCTGGTTGGTCATCTACTTCTGGACTTTAGTCTTGTTCCAGGACTTCTTCTTCTTTGCATTTGCCAGCTGTAAACTCCAGTGGACAGTTCTGGTTCGTCATCTACTTATGGACTTTAGTCTTGTTCCAGGACTTCATCTTTGCATTTGCCAGCTGTAAACTCCAGTGGACAGTTCTGGTTGGTCATCTACTTCTGGACTTTAGTCTTGTTCTAGGACTTCTTCTTCTTTGCATTTGCCAGCTGTAAACTCCAGTGGACAGTTCTGGTTGGTCATCTACTTCTGGACTTTAGTCTTGTTCTAGGACTTCTTCTTTGCATTTGCCAGCTGTAAACTCCAGTGGACAGTTCTGGTTGGTCATCTACTTCTGGACTTTAGTCTTGTTCTAGGACTTCTTCTTTGCATTTGCCAGCTGTAAACTCCAGTGGACAGTTCTGGTTGGTCATCTACTTCTGAACTTTAGTCTTGTTCCAGGACTTCTTCTTTGCATTTGCCAGGTGTAAACTCCAGTGGACAGTTCTGGTTGGTCATCTACTTCTGGACTTTAGTCTTGTTCTAGGACTTCTTCTTCTTTGCATTTGCCAGCTGTAAACTCCAGTGGACAGTTCTGGTTGGTCATCTACTTCTGGACTTTAGTCTTGTTCCAGGACTTCTTCTTTGCATTTGCCAGCTGTAAACTCCAGTGGACAGTTCTGGTTGGTCATCTACTTCTGGACTTTAGTCTTGTTCTAGGAGTTCTTCTTCTTTGCATTTGCCAGCTGTAAACTCCAGTGGACAGTTCTGGTTGGTCATCTACTTCTGGACTTTAGTCTTGTTCCAGGACTTCTTCTTTGCATTTGCCAGCTGTAAACTCCAGTGGACAGTTCTGGTTGGTCATCTACTTCTGGACTTTAGTCTTGTTCTAGGACTTCTTCTTCTTTGCATTTGCCAGCTGTAAACTCCAGTGGACAGTTCTGGTTGGTCATCTACTTCTGGACTTTAGTCTTGTTCAAGGACTTCTTCTTCTTTGCATTTGCCAGCTGTAAACTCCAGTGGACAGTTCTGGTTGGTCATCTACTTCTGGACTTTAGTCTTGTTCAAGGACTTCTTCTTCTTTGCATTTGCCAGCTGTAAACTCCAGTGGACAGTTCTGGTTGGTCATCTACTTCTGGACTTTAGTCTTGTTCAAGGACTTCTTCTTCTTTGCATTTGCCAGCTGTAAACGCCAGTGGACAGTTCTGGTTGGTCATCTACTTCTGGACTTTAGTCTTGTTCCAGGACTTCTTCTTTGCATTTGCCAGCTGTAAACTCCAGTGGACAGTTCTGGTTGGTCATCTACTTCTGGACTTTAGTCTTGTTCTAGGACTTCTTCTTCTTTGCATTTGCCAGCTGTAAACTCCAGTGGACAGTTCTGGTTGGTCATCTACTTCTGGACTTTAGTCTTGTTCCAGGACTTCTTCTTCTTTGCATTTGCCAGCTGTAAACTCCAGTGGACAGTTCTGGTTGGTCATCTACTTCTGGACTTTAGTCTTGTTCCAGGACTTCTTCTTTGCATTTGCCAGCTGTAAACTCCAGTGGACAGTTCTGGTTGGTCATCTACTTCTGAACTTTAGTCTTGTTCAAGGACTTCTTCTTCTTTGCATTTGCCAGCTGTAAACTCCAGCGGAAAGTTCTGGTTGTTCGTCTACTTCTGGACTTAAGACCTGTTTTTCAGAACTTGCATTTTGCATGCATATCCATTTTACAGATGTGGCTTACTTGTATGCAGATGATTGGTTTCTCACCTCTTAGGCAGATGCCCTTAGTCTTAAAAGAAAAACCTCTTATGACATGCTTGCTAGGGAAGTAGTAGGTCTATTCTTGTTGCCCCCTAGTGGGTTCTCGGAACCCACACAGGGAGTTCCAAGGCTTAAGTTTGTGTGCAGACTACAGGTTCCTCATCTCTCAAGCAGATGGACTCAGACTTAGAAGAAAGCGTTGATTCTATCCAAGCTGGCCAGACTCCCAGCTGGGAACCCATTTCTAGGATGACCATGCAGAGATGTAGTTAGGTGGACTAGTCTAAGCCCTGGTCCTGTGCACCCCCATGTGTGGTTCAGATGGTTCACCACCGTCACAAAATCCGTGCCAAAAAAAAACATTCTTCTTTGGCACCTTTCCATCTTGTGGGCTGACACTGTCACCAGCACAGTTTTCATCAAACTTCCTCTAGTGGCCTACATTAGGGATGTTTTAGACTAGAGTCGGCTACATCCCACATCTCTGCCCCACTCAGGGACAGTCTCTTGTCATAGACCTGTATGCAAAACTCATCTGTATGTGGTTAAGGCAAATATCTGCAACAGATGTGGTATTAAGTACATCAGTGAAACTAGGCAATGTCAAGCAGACAGGTTCAGGCATCATCTTTCTGGTGTGAAGAACGGCGCCCTCGGGTCAGTAGTTATGCATTTTAATTCTCAGCGTCCCTGGAGTGTTTTCGACACGGAGGTTATGGTCACCAAATGTAGCCACACCAATAATAGTTTATTATAAGTCCATTGAGGACCATCTTATCTGGGTACTGATTCCCTCTTAACTAAGAACCTTAACATTCAACACAGCTTCATCTAATATTTTTAGGTAAAAACCCTTGCTGGCAATCCTCTTTCTGGCTAGTATTTACTTCCTGTATCACATTCAGAGTCTCTACTATGCAGTCCTGTCATGGATATTTCTTGGTGAGACCTCAGATAAGTGTTGCTCTGAATTCTTGTTTGTAACTGTAACATTTTCCAATTGTGTCATAAGATGATTAGCGATTTCTAGCCGCCATATCATTTATCATTTGTGATCCTGGTAATGTGAAGCTGACTCGTTCTACTTCTCATTCGGTTTGATTTTCTTCCATGTGTGGGTTAGCACCTCAGTATCCCACATAAAAATTACTAAATAAACAACTGGAATAGAGTAACCACTGTCTAGGAATAGTAAAGTTTTTTGTGTGTGTGGTTGTTTGTGATTTTACGAGGCTATTTAACATTCAGCAGTTTGCCCCTGCTTTCTGAATGTTCAGCTCTAGATATCCCTACCTAAACAAATGCAAGGCAGGCTGCTGCCAAACTGCCCGCAGATGGGATTAAACCCAGTTACAAATAAAGTGTGTTCGCAACAATTATTCCACAGATGGTATAGTACTGACTAAAATCAAGAAACCACTCTACTGGTACTTACCTATACACTGTTCTGTAAAACTCTTGCCACTGATGCAAGTCTCCAAGTGGACCACCATTTTCTGACTGACGTCTGCTATTTCTTCCATGTTTCCCAGGAGAAAGGCCAGGTCAACGCCCCCAGGAGGTTTCTGTATTATAAAAAAATTAAAAAATGACTGGTGACCATCCAATAACCACAGAAATATGAATTTACAAAATAGGTGGCATTTCAAATGTTTCAGGTCTTGGAAATTAGGATAGGCAGATGAATAGGTAGCCTTTCATGGAAACACGAAAGGTTCTAGAAATGTGGATATATGGGGGGGAAAAGGTGGCATTTCACATGAAAGATTGAGGTTCTAGAAATGTAAATACACAGAATAAGTGGCCTTTTATTAAAACAAAGGCTCCAAAAATTAGGATGCACAGAATAGGTGGCATTTCAGGGAAATGGTTATAATCTGATTATGGGAAAAAAATACCATACGCCCTATAAGCTTAAGCATGGAAGAGTTCTTTTAAACTACTTTGAAGTTGTTTTATATTAGGGCTATCCAACTAAGTTTACACATAATTTGGAAAATGGGGATCGTCATGGGCCAAAGGCCAGAGCCTCAGTATTGAAAAATCAATTCAGTTTAACCAACAATGATCCACGGGCCACTTGCTAGGCCTCTGCGGACCAAATCTAGCCCTCGGGCCATCAGTTGAATAGCCCTGTTCTATTTCTTCTATCTGAGTGCTCTGATCACCCAATCTTCTTCTTTTTCTTTCTCTTCTTCTTCTTTCTCATCTTCTTCTTTTTCTTCTCCTCCATGTTCACTGGCTGTAATCTTTGGCGAAAGTCATAAAAGTCCTGGCTGTGCATTCCCTTTTGGACTTTTGTTTTTTTCCAGAACCTGAGGGCTGCCTGAACATCAGTTTTACAGACCTGGCTTATCTGTGTGCAGACTGTTGGTTCCCTCCCTCTCAGGCAGATGCTTTTGAACTTCAAAGGAAACGCTGATCCTATCTACGCTGGCTAGACTCCTGGTAGGGAGGATGATCATGGAGACATGCAGACAGGTCATGATCCGTATCAGCCCTGATGGTGCATTGCCACGCTGGCTCACCATCTCTACATCCCTGATCACCCAAACAAGGAAGATAAAATTGTATTTACTCTAAGCTAAGAAAACTAAGGGGCTTGCATGGTCTCGAGGCATGGTGTTCGCCTTGACTGCTGGAGGTTCCGGGTTCAGTCCCTGGTAAGGGCAAGGATTTTTTTCACGTAGATTTGGTCTTCTAGTAATTCCCCGTGGTCTCTGGGTAGTGAGATTGGACGCCGGTGTGCATTGTTGCGCATGTAAAAAAAAATCTCTTGGCAGTTGGAAATCGAAAAGAGTAGCCTAACGGCGCCGCCTAGGCAAAATTTTGAGTTAAAAATCTACCCAAAGTTTTTCAGGATCCTCGCCGGTGCTACAGAGTCTATGCACTGTGCTGAGCTTCTTCGGACCCAGACTTGAGTTAGAAGTAGAACAGAGCACTTATGGGTTACTACCCGTGTGCCATGATGTTGATCCGTTGTTCAAACCTCAAAGCTGAAAAAACTACTGGTCAATTTGTCTGCAGGAAAACACAAAAGAAAAGGCATCAGCAATAACCAGGTGCACATGGGGACATGCGTAAGTGGCCGGGACTTTATACTAGACGAGGCCTGCATGGTCTCAAGGCATGGCATCCCCTTCAAGTGCTAGAGGTCCCGGGTTCAAGCCCCGGTGAAGGCTGGGATTTTTTCACGTGGACTTCTAGTAATTTCTCCTGGTCTCTGAGTAGTAAGCTCAGACACCCATGTGTATTGTTGCGCACGTAAAAAATCCCTTGGCAGTAGGAAATGAAAAAAAGAGTAACCTAGTGACGCTGCTCAGACAAAATTTGGAGTTAAAAATCTACCCAAAGTATTTCAGGATCCTTGCCGGTGCTACGGAGTTTGTGCTGAGATTCTTCGGACTCAGGTTTGAGTCAGAAGAAGCACGGAGCACTCATGGGTTACTACCCTTGTGCCATGATATTGAACCGTCGTCTAAACATAAACCCTATAATGAACTGAATAATTCAGTGGTATTTAACCCTGTCACCCCAAGAAAGCCAGTTTTCCAACTTCTATGGGTTACTGGTAACACAATGACTTTGGACAGTGGTCAATTTGCCTATATAACAGCTTTGGTAATGGGTGCAGCTGCCTAGTGTGCAGACATGGAGTATGATTACCACTCCCCCCCCCCTCCTCCCCCCCCCCCCCCCCCCCCCCCCCAAAAAAAAAAAACTTGCAGACATATTACTTAAGAGTTTTAAAACAATTGAGTTTTGGATGTCATGGTGGAGTTAATAAAAACTTATGATGACGTCCCCTTGCTCACTGCTGCTGTGCCAACAAAATCCATTTTTCTGGTCAAAGAAAGGAAGGAAAGCAGTTTTAAAAAAAATCACAATAACTCTGAATATGAAAAATCTGTCCTTCAAGTGACTTGGAGCCGCAATAGCTAGCAGGTTTGCCTGTCTGATTAGTGGTCATAGGTTTCAACCCCTTGGATTTTTTTATAAAATCTGACCAAGACTCTAAATTTCCTCTGCTTCTTTTGTTCCTCTAGTTTTCTAGGTTAGAGTTTCTGAGAATTATAAGGCCCCTGCCGAAACTTCATTGCTCCTCTGTGTGTGCTTTTCTCCTTCCCATCTTTTTTAAGTTTTTTAGTCACATTTCAGTGGATTAATGTCTTAATACTAGCTTAACTTTTAAATATTTTGGAAGTATATTTTCAGAGAATGGGCGAATAGATCGGGAAAGAGAAACAAGATGCCAAAGAGCCAGTGCACTTATATAACAACTGACACCAATATTAAGACATCCAAACATAAGTATAAGCACCAAGAAACAGATTTTAAACAGCATATTCATATCAGCACAGCGCTACCAGTGTCAGACACGGACATTATCAAAGGCTAACTAACCTATGTGAAATTAACACCTGTGAAATGAGATGCCTGAGAAAGGCTGCCAACTTAACCATCCGAGACATAGTTAAAAATGATATTATCAGACAGACTGTAGAAACGACACCATGCAGCAAAAACACTGAGAAACAGAAGATCAAATGGTCTGTCCATTTAGAAAGAATGCAGCCAGAACAACTACCAACGCAGGAACTACACATAAAAGTGCAAGCAAGAGGCTGCCCTAGGAGAAGATGGATTGAAGACATTAAAGAGCTTCTACATCGACACAGAACGACAATAGCCATTGCTGCCCATCAAGCAAGGGATCGCAAACTGTTCCTTCCCACAACCCTTAATGGCAGAAGTGGAAACTGATGATGATGATGACTAGCTTAACTGCAATCACCACAGTTCTTATCACTAACAAAACAAAGGAATAGCAAACAAACCTGCCCATCCATGAATGTCTCCAGACACAGCTGCAGGCTCAGCAGATAATCTTTCTCTGTGTCTAAGATCTCTTGAATCACCTTTGACCTCTGATCTCGTCTTTTCTCTTTCATTTCTGCTTCTCGTTTCTTCTCCTCCTCCTTTCGCTTCTCCTCCTCTTCAACTTGCTGGACTGCCAAAAGCCTGGCCTTCTCCAGTCGGGCTTCATGAGGGCTCAGGGCAAACAGGTTTTCTGTAGATAAGCATGGAGATAGTAAACTAACCCTGCTCACCTTTCATTTAAAAAAAAAAAACATTCAATAGCAATAGTGGCAGCCCCAGTAATGTAGCGATCAGCCTGCTGACTCAAAAGTCTTACGACGCAGATTTTTCTTAAAAATTGACCGTGGCTCCCAGGTCAACCCAGCCTTAAATGGGTACTAGGTAATGACCTGGGAAGTAAAGGCGGCTGGAGTGACGTTAATCACATCACCCATCAAGTACCGATTAGTCTATAAAAATATTAATAGCATCTTATGCCCAACACACCATTGGAATAAAAAGGGCGTCTGCACTGTTGTTGTTTTTTTTAATTATTTTTTTAACATATTTTTTATAGCAATAGCCATACAGGTGGAACATAACCTAGCCTTACATTAGACTAAGGTGGCGGTACTTTTCCAAATGGATTCTTTGGTTTAAAAGGGGAGACTCATCATCATCATGTGCACTGCCAACTGGGGTAGGAGCTAATGCCTCTCCACAGATCACGATCCCTGGTTGCCTGGAACAGCTCTCTTGATGATATCCCTCCATTACCTCGTTTTAGCCGATCCAACATCATCTCTCTTGGTCTGCCTCTACCCCTTTTTCCACTGATCTTTCCAGTTGTCACGATGTTCTCCAATGTCTCTTTTCTCATTATGTGGCCAAAGAACAGTGTTTGACTCTTTTTTATTGTTGTATATAGAGATCTACTTTCAGTAATCTCTTTCAAGCAATGGTTGTTAGTTACTCTGGCCGTCCAAGGTTTTCGTAACATTTGTCTCAGAAACCACATCTCTGTTGCTTCCAAATTTTTCTTAATTTGATCAGTGACATTCCAAGATTTGCTGCCATACAGCAGAACAGGTTCTATGTAAAAGGAGACTGCCACCACATAAAACATCCCTAGAAACTCTCAATGTGGCTGCCCTGGAAGGCCTGTCGCTGGAACAAACCGAGAAACAAAGAGAGGAACTTGGTGTGGCAACATATGGATGTGAGTCATCGACATGTACTTAATCAGTGAAGGAAAAAAATGTGAATTAGTACAGAAAACATTTTTAGAATGCCTGGAACCAAGGAGAAGAGAAACATCAACATCCTGTATGATCTGAGCATCGAGGAGAATTGGCTCATAAGCAGCATCCCCTCCTGAAAGCTGGGGTATTCTGGCTTTGTCAAACCTCAGGATGGCCAAGAGAAAATGGTGATGGAGGGTACAGTTCACCGGGAACGAAATGGTGATGGGGGGTACAGTTCACCAGGAACAAAATGGTGATGGAGGGTACAGTTCACCGGGAACAAAATGGTGATGGAGGGTACAGTTCATCAGGAACAAAATGGTGATGGAGGGTACAGTTCACCGGGAACAAAATGGTGATGGAGGGTACAGTTCACCAGGAACAAAATGGTGATGGAGGGTACAGTTCACTGGGAACAAAATGGTGATGGAGGGTACAGTTCACCAGGAACAAAATGGTGATGGAGGGTACAGTTCATCGGGAACAAAATGCAAAGGCAGACCTACACCTCCTTCTCCTCAGTCTTCACCGGTTGTAAACCCTGGCAGAAAGTTCCGGCTGTTCGTCCACTCCCGGACTCTGGTCTCGTTCCAGAACTTGAGTTTTGCATGCACATATATTTTACAGATGTGGCTCATATGTATGCAGACTGATGGTTCATCATCTCTAAGGCAGATGCACTTCGACGGGAACTCCCCTAATTAGTCCTTTTGTACGACATGCTTGTTAGGAAGGTGGGTTTATCCCCACCCCTCCCCAACAAAATACAGACCCGGAATCGACACAGGGAATTTCATGAATCAAAACATTACAGCTCCCAACAAGTCATGTTTTGACAATTATTTCAATATTTAGCATGCAAACATATAAATCCCATGCATGTCTGTATAAGTACAGTAAGGATACACATATTTATACAATTCAAACACCACGAAAGAGATGCATAGAAGTGGGATTTTTTTTCTTCTGGTGGTATGCAACAGTACATGGTACCAGCATAATTTTTTAAGCACCCCTGTTAGAGACACTTTGTGGTGAGTATCAGCATCTTTTGTTCTAGGAAAAAGCTCCGGATGAATATTTTATTCCATTTAAGAGTAATATTGAAAATTTATTTTTGATACAGTTAAAACTAAGTAATCAGAAACTTATTATTAATAAAAAGGAAACAGTGTATCCTTTAAGCTGTAATAATCCAACGAGGTAACAGGTGTACCCATGCAATAAGAGGAATTTTTTTTAATTTTAATTTTAAAAAATACCAAAACTGCTTGTATTTAACAGTTTTTGCAATGTGGGTGGGGTGGGGTCTTTGAGCCTGAGGATTTAGGACCGTGTGACTGCAGACTGTCCAGGCTAGGATTGTTTTCTTCGCCTCTGAAAGAAATAAAAAACCAAGCCCTTACTGAGGATTCGAAGCTGGGTCTCCCAAACAGGAGCCCAGCATTCGTATCCTTTCAGCCAACCATTGCTAAAAAAAAATTATTAAAATTAATTAATTATTAAAATTGGAGAAATCCAACCGAATTGACAAAGAAGTTCCATCTGTTCATATCATCATCATAATCACCATTTAGCAGGTCCTTCACTGAAAGCTGATCCAATGAAAGTCTGTCCAAAAGAAACCCATGTCCCTCACCAGCTCTCCTCCCTTGAGCACTTTCCGGCCTAAAGATATCTTACGCCTTTTGCCTACCTTCGTGCTGGTGGGATCCTCCACATCTTACATGGTACCATGCACTCACTGCTGTTCTTTCTAATCCACTATCGTGCCTGGCACTGCTAATGTGTTTCAGTTTCCAAGTCAAGGTGCAGCATACGCACCAACTTGGCTTCCATGATGAGTTTATTGAGCTAGTAATGTTGTAGCTTCCCTTTGCTTTCCCCTTTCCACATGGCTTTAAGCTTTAAGATTGCCTGGGCATGTGCTCCCTGCTCTATGACACTCTATCCTATTTAAATATCTTCTAAATGAATGTAAAAAGGTGGAAATAAATGCACTTTTCCTGTGACAGCATACACATGTGAAACCTGAATCATTTCACAGAAACTGTTTGATATAAAATGTTACATAAGAATTCTTGGAAAGTCCTTCACGAAAAAGAAGAAAACACAAATATCCCTCTTTATCTAATCATCTAAGAAAATTGTCTCACAATAGCATGTGTCATAAAATGACATAATTCAGTGGTCTTTTCAAAGAAAACTGGCTTAAAATATCACTTTTCGTTGGCTCATAATATCATTTTTTGTTGGTTCATACTATCAGGTTTCATTAGCTCATATTATCATGTTTCATCAGTTGATATCATGTTTTATGTGCTCATATTATCATGTTTTATTGGCTAATATTATTATGTTTCATTGGCTCATAATATCATGTTTCTCTGGCTCATAAAAATCAGGTTTCATTGGCTCATATCATTATTCACTGGCTCATAATATCATGTTTCATTAGCTCATAATATCATGTTTTACTGGCTGATAATTTAATGTTTCATTGAGAAGTGTTCGCAACGCCTAAGCGGCAGATACCAACGAGGTTCACCATAAAGCGTCCAAAAATGTGCCGATACTCACCACAAAATGGTTATTACAGAAGCACTGAAAACATTATGCCTAAAAAATGTACCACCAGGAAAAAAAGACATGAGTATCATGCGTAACACAGAGATAAAATGAAGAAAAAAAAAAAGCAGTCACCTTTTAGACTGCGTTCCTCTTCCTGCAAGCCACACAACTGCCTCTCCACAAACTCTAGATGGTCTTTAGTTTCTGCTTCTTTTTCTTGACTATTCGCTCGGCTCAAGTTTTTTTGCAAGTCTGACTTGGTCTGTTCAAACTTCTATATGATGGAAACAAATTTCTATAAAGATTTTTCACTCACATAGAAGGACAACCTGGTCTATATCATACCATTCTTCTTCTTCTTCTTTGTCTCATTCTTCTTCTTTTTCTTAGCGTTTACCGGCTGTAAACTCTGGTAAAAAGTTCTGGTTGTTCATCCACTTTTGGACTGAAGTCTTGTTTCAGAACTAGAAGTCTACAAGCACATCTATTTTACAGACCAATTATTAGCAAAGGAGTCCAGTCGGGATGCATGTAATGCCATGAGCAACAAAACATCATGCAATCAAATATGAAAAAGAAAATTATAGCCATAATGAGTAATACACCCAAATAATGAAATCAAAATCCAATCCTCAAATTCCAAGAATAATGCAGAATAAGAGAAACTTACTGATATTACAGAATGGATAACACAGGATGAAGCAGGCATGATGACAGCTGTACATGTCTTGATTACTTGACAGAGATGTTATCTTTCTCTGGACAGATTTGATAGCCCACAACAAAGTTCAAACAGAGGAACTCCATACAAGCATTATTAAACCTTTGTGACATGAATTCCATATAAACCTCTGTTATTTGAATTCCACATAAACATTAAAAACCTTTGTGACATGAATTCCATATAAACCTCTGTTATTTGAATTCCACATAAACATTAAAAACCTTTGTGACATGAATTCCATATAAACCTCTGTTATTTGAATTCCACATAAACATTAAAAACCTTTGTGACATGAATTCCATATAAACCTCTGTTATTTGAATTCCACATAAACATTAAAAACCTTTGTGACATGAATTCCATATAAACATTATAAACTTCAGTAACATGAAATCCATTAAAATCTCTTATGAATTCCATGTAAACATTATAAATCTCAGTGACATGAATTCCATATAAACTTTATAAAACCTCATGACATGAATTCCATATAAACTATACAAGCTACTGTGAGATGAATTCCATACAAACATGGCTTCTGTGTTAAGAATGAGAAGTAGCACTGAAGATATCCGTAGTTGGTCTTATACTTGTTTAAGGAAAATTATCAACAGCACATACATGTGCTGGAGTATGGGAAGCACACAATTATGTAGCAAATGTAACTTTATGGTTCAAGTACCCATATCTTCCAAGCGTCATTAAAATATCAATTTAAGCACTTCACCACAATAGAGATAATTGAAATCTAACTTCACCACAATATCACAATCTAAAATCTTTCATTACAATATGAAACATCTAAAAACTAACTTCATTACAATAGAACAATTTAAGGATTTCCCCACAATATCATCTAAAAACTAACTTCACCACAATATCACAATCTAAAAAATATAACCTCATTACAAAATGAAACATCTCAAAATAACTTCATTACAATATCACAGCCTAAGAACTGCACCACAAAAAACCTTCAAACTTGAATCAAGTCAAAATAAGCTATCAGTTAATGTGCCCCAAAAAGTAAGCAGTTTAACTTCAGTACCATTTGCAAAATCTAACAATCTACAAATGTTATAAAGGAGAGTTCTTTGATGGATAGCAGATGGAAACAGATGTGGACAACCTAAGCAAACCTGGAGAAGGACAAGAGACAGGGAAATGAAAGAATGTAAAATGACATGGGATATTACAGACAGAAAAGCAGCAGACTGGCAGAAACGAAGAGCACTTGTGGATGCCTTATGTGTCAACATTGATCAGAAGAGGATACAGACAGAATATACACAGAGCATAAAGGAAGAAGTTCTCTAACTGGCCTTTCGTGTATGTTGCTTGCCCAGCTGAATAACCCCACTGTCTCATTAACAACACACACAGAGTCATTTATTATGTTCACAAGTAAGAGAATGTCTGCGTGTGCTGGAGTGTCTGTTGTGTGTACAAAAAGCAGACACCAGTGATTCTCAACTTTTGGTGGAAGCCACAATAGTGTGAATCTGGAAGATTGCAGAGGAGGCAGGAACAAAATATGTTGGTCTCTTTCTGATGTGTGTCCACCATAAAGTGGCAGGAACAGAATATGTTGGTCTCTTTCTGATGTATGTCCACCATAAAGTGGCAGGAACAGAATATTTTGGTCTCTTTCTGATGTGTGTCCACCATAAAGTGGCAGGAACAGAATATTTTGGTCTCTTTCTGATGTGTGTCCACCATAAAGTGGCAGGGGAACTAGCATGTTCCCATGATGTAAACAGCTATTCAATGCTTGTGTAGATATTACTGGTAGGGTTTCCAATTTTGAACAGGTCAAGGGAAAGGAAAAAGATCAAGAGAGAAAAACTTACTGTGTTGTAGGCAGGATGGTGTGTTCAGTTAACCCAAAAGACACTTTTCAAGATCAGATCTGTTTAGAGTTCACCGGCCGTAGTAAACACAGGTGCAATGTTCTGGTTCTGTTTACCTAGTGGACACTGGTCTCATTGATCTTGTTGCAAAGCATGACTGTTACTTGTCTCTCAGGTAAATGAATTTCAACTTCAAAGGAAACATCCCTAATTAGTCAATTAGTCGCATTTTACGAAACTTTGGTTTTGAGAGGAGGGGGATGTCTATTCTTTTTTTTTTTCTGTTTTCTTTAAATTATGCGCAGAACACACACAGAGATGAACTTAGTAAGGATACAGAAATTCTTCTTTGATTACCTTAGCTTGAGAAGACACTAGTAATCACGTAACTGCAGTTCCAACTTCACAGCAAACAGGTCACCCCACAGTTGCTTTATTCGTGTGCCAATGAAAACCACACTGAATACCCATCACTGTCCTTTGTGGGAGAAACCATTGTGGGGAGGGGAAAAAACTGATGCAGACTGCAGTCTCGGCAAAGCCAGTAGCATATACACGTTATATATGCATTAGGCAGTCGTCAGAAGCACCAACACCAATAGTCCAGTACTAGATGTGCAAGCAAAACTTCTAAAACAAGACCAAAGTCCAGAAGTGGAAAAACAACCAGAAATTTCCTCGGGACTTTACAGCCAGGGAACGCTCCGCTGAAGATCTGATGATATAAATGCACTTAAATCCTCAGTTACAAAACAGCAGTCATCTTTTCTCTTCTGCATTTACCCAACACTCAATTCTTCCGGGGAACCAGTCGGCTAGATTACTATTGTAACATATGTTGTCCCACATGTGTTATTAGTTATGAGTAAAGAGTCCATATTACAGTACTCGTGATATTCCCATAAGGACTTCATCTCCACCTTCAGCAGCGAGTGCAGAGTTCTAATTCTGAAAGTGCCAGTACCAGTCTGATAGTATGTCCATCTCGCCCCTTCCCTGAGTGTTGAGTGTCGGCCAGATACCCCAGTCACTCCAAGCTGCACCATTCTCCCCAGACCGTGATGATCCATTTGTGCCTCTCTATCTGTGCCTCTGCACTATTTACTCACTCCCAAAGGGTCTTTACAACAAATAGCTCATGCATCAGTTTACCACCAAGCAGAATCAGCCAATCTGTCTGCCTGCTCATTTCCCAACACACGCGCATGCCCTGCAGAAAATATCCAAAGGATACAAACTATGCAGGACCTCTGAAGCGATGCTTGCCCCACAGCATAGAGCATACCTATTCTAGGTGTGCATTTGCATGCCTCTTGTTTACCTTCACAGGCCTTTAAATTTTCCTTCTAGTATACAAACTAAACCTTCAACACTGTAGTCCAGAGAAATACTGTTTTGAGAACCACTGAGCTGGACTACTACTGCAACATCTGTTGCCCCAGATGGTGTGACATTTGTGATTAGCATTATTTGTTTAACAGTAAAATGATGCCCAGGCCAAATTTAGCACACAATGTTTAAGGTAGTATAATTAGTGGTTGACTGGGTCGGATTCCAGTTTTTCACACCCACGGGTTCAGACTTGAGTACTACACAGATTTGTATTATTGAAAAGTAAACTTAGAATGGATGCTAGAGTGTTTGAGCCCACTGTTTTGGTAGTATATCAGGGATAATTAGTGACTGACTGGTTTGGATTCCAGTCTTTCACACCCACAGGTTCAGGCTTGAGTACTACGCAGATTTGTATTATTCAAAAGTAAAATTAGAATGGATGCTACACTGTTTGAGCCCACTTTAGGGCTAGAACTTGGTTTACTGATGTAAGTCTCCAAATCTACTTAAATAGGGGAACTAGGAGATTTTCTGGGACATAAAGCTGCCTAGTCTTTGATCACATTTCCCTTGAGCAAATGACTGATTACAGTTCTGAAATATACGTATACTCAGAAAACATTCTAGCTTGTGTAACTAAGACTTAGATTCTGCTGATGATATTTTTTTAATTATTATTATTTTCATTACACCTGGAATTCCTTGCCGCGTCAGGGCAAGAAGAGATATCTGGAACGGGCCCTTCTGTTCGCTTCGTATAAAGCACTTTTCAGTGTCTCTGATATTTCTGTGGTCCATCTTCTGAGTGGTCGACCTCTGGCTCTGTTACCGTTATTACTATTATTATTATCTGCTAAAATGATTTATGAATGGAATTATGTTTGCGGAAAACCAAAAGGGTAAAATGTAAGATTGGCCAGTCTGTCCTTGAAAACAATCTGTTTATTCACTTATACTTTATATAAAAGTCATAAATATTTAATCTGCATACTTCTTCTTCTTCTTTCATTTGCTTGAAATAGATTATCTATATCTGCAATGTTGTCTCTAGTAGGAATGTCACTGTCTTTTGTAATTCACTCAGCGACCCGTAAAGTTTGACTTGCACCGATGTTACTCTTGGCCAAAAGTTGTGCCTTGGTATGTTGTATTTGGGACAGTCTTGGAGGACATGATCTGTTGTCTCGGGTGCCAGTCCACACGTACACATTGTTGATTCGCCGATTTTAAATTGTGTGTACATGTGGCTGCGAAGTCGATTGTAGTATAATAATCTGCATACTGAATATCATCATTAACAATGCATGAACAAGCCCTAGCGCATCTTCTTCTGCATTCATCCAAGGACTAACCCATGTAAGTCCCGGGGCCCCATCTTGGGCTGGAAAAAAAAAAATAGAACCACTGCCTTTCTAAGCAGGTCACAAAGGGTGACTAATTACGGCTGTTTCTTCTGAAGTCAGTGTGCTTCAGCCTGACAGGCTTGGAACCAACAATCTGCATTTAAACAAGCCAGATCTGTGAAACAGATGTGCACACAAAACTTCTGGAACAAGACCAAAATCTAGAAGTGAAAAAAACAACCAGAATTCTCCACCGGACATCTTTTTTTTTCTTCTCCTTTCGTTCGCCTGAAATAAGTTGTCTATATCAGCAATTTTGTCTCTTGTATAAATTTCACTGTTGTTGTTAGTTCATACAGTGGTCCACATAGTTTACGTTCCACTGTTGTTCTTTCTGGCCAAAAGGTGTGAATTAATGTGTCAAATTAAGTGCAGTCCTGGAGTACATGCTCTGCTGTCTGGAGGCATCTTTCTACAGGTGTACATGGCTGATACGCCTATCTTGAATTTTGTGTACATGTGGTTAGGTAATCAGTTGTGCCCTGTTCTGAGGCGTCCATTGGACATTAAAGCAAGGGAAAACTAAGAAGAAGAAGGTCCTGTGAAGAAGATCCGATGACACAGTTGCATTTGCCTGTTAACGTTATAACTACAATATTCGTGCCTTTCGGCTGAGACATTTATTTCTTCAGGCATTTGTTATCTTTGTTAGCCTTCCCTACATTGGGAGGACATGGGGGTCAACAGCATGTGGCAGCTTTTCTTCTTCGTTCTTCGCGTTCACCAGCTGTAAACTCTGGCGGAAGGTTCTGGTTGCTCATCCACTACTGAACTGCAGTCCTGCTCCAGAACCTGAGTGTTGCGTGTGCATCAGTTTTACAGATCTCATTCTCTTGAATACAGACTGTTGGTTCCTTGCCTCTCCGGCAGATGCACTCCGACTTCAAAGAAAGTTCCCCAATTAGTCGACTCTTACGACATGCTTTTGGGGAGGCAGTGGGTCTATTCTTGTTTTCCCCACAATGGGGTCTCGGAACCCACACGGGGGATGTGGCAGCAAAGGATAGGATGATGTGGTGTGTGTTTGTTTAGGGCCTACGCTCCACTTGTGGGATAAAGGACAGAAGAAGTTAGCCTGCCTGACAGTGGCACATCTTATGCTGATGAGCTGATGTTCAAGTGGTTTGGTGTCCTTGTCAGCAATCGGCCAAGAAATAAATCCTTGGAAAGTAGACCACTGAAATAGCATAAAAAATAATTTCACATGTAGTGATTTCAAAGGAGCCACCGTGGTGTAGCGGCTTGACGCCCAAATGTTGTAGGTTCAATCTGCCTCGAAGTGGATTTTTCAAAAAATGACCTTGGCTCCCAGGTCAACTCAGCCTCAAAAGGGTACCAGGTGAAGTCTTTGGAAGTAAAGGTGGCCAGCCTGATGTTGCCCATATTACCTACCGAGTGCCTAAGAAATATAGGTCTAGCGCTCTACCCCCCAATATGACTAAATGTGTGGAAAAGGGTCCTTTACTTTACTGAGTGCCAACCAAAAAACGTCAGACTGTTCATCATGCAGTCTACGCAGAAGCCAAATGTTTATAGAAAGAAGTCCTCAAGAGCCCAATAATTTTTTAGATAACATAAATAAGACTAATAATCTTCTGAAAAATCAATTCCAAATAACCTCCAGCATCAACAAAATATGTGCCAACAATTGTTATCCCTTTCCACAATGAAAAATGAATGAATTAGGAAGAACAAATAAAACCAGAAGCTATAATCAATAAATAATAAAGGCTCAGAGTGGAAGAATAGGACCACAGTTTAAAGACAGTATAAAAAAATTCTGGTCAAGAATGTTTAACAAATGCTGGTCAAGAATGTTTAACAAATGCTGGTCAAGAATGTTTAACAAATGCTGGTCAAGAATGTTTAACAAATGCTAGTCAAGAGTGTTTAACAAATGCTGGTCAAGAATGTTTAACAAATGCTGGTCAAGAATGTTTAACAAATGCTGGTCAAGAGTGTTTAACAAATGCTAGTCAAGAGTGTTTAACAAATGCTGTTCAAGAATGTTTAACAAATGCTGTTCAAGAATGTTAAACATATGCTGGTCAAGAATGTTTAACAAATGCTGGTCAAGAATGTTTAACAAGTGCTGGTCAAGAATTTTTAACAAGTGCTGGTCAAGAATGTTTAACAAGTGCTCATCAAGAATGTTTAACAAATGCTAGTCAAGAATGTTTACCTTAATATCAGCTTGGTTCTCTTCTAGCTTACACTTCAGGTCAGCCACAAGCTCCAGCGTAGATTCCTCAGATACATCTGTCAGTGAAACAGAAGAGAAACATTCTGTCAAAGGCAAGGAGAGCTCTGCCACAGTCCATGTGGAGATAACAATTCTAAATTTTCACCAACCTCATTCAGACAGATCAGTCTCTCCGCAATGAAGGCTAGCTGCAGTGCATCCCCAGGGGTCCTAATGGTGTAATGATGTCTAACACAATACTCTCAATGTCTCTTGGTAGCTCTTGCTCAAGCCTACCTCACTGTTCAGGTGGTGGAGACCCTGTTCTAACCAGTAATTCAGTGAAAGGTTGAAGTTTCAACCCCAGCAGGAAACTAGATGACAACAAACGCGGTAAAAACAACAATCCGGTTTTGTCGACCAGCTACTGAGTGCATGGTGTTACACTGTGAGCACTGAATTTATGGGGGAATGCCTATGGTCTGTGCTCCTGGTGATGTGTGTTGTGAACTGCATATTCAGAAAATGGTGAGTGGCTGGTTGCCACAGGACTGGCGGTGTGCCTTATACAATAATGTGCATCTGCTGGTTTGTCAGACTGCAGCTTCCATCAACTATGAATAGCAATTTCAGTGACTGACTGCACCTTTAGCAGCTGCCTTATGCTCTTGATGCATGTGCACGCTGTTAATATTTTTTTTAAAGACAAAGAGGAATGGCCAAATAAAAAGACAAAGAAGAAAGGCCAAATAAAAATTCAAAGACGAAAAGCCAAATAAAAAGACAAGAAACTTACCAGCTCCAGGTCTATCAGGACTAAAAGACATCAGATCTGCTGAACGAGGTGGTGGTCGTTTTGGTGCAGTGGCAAAAGTGTTCTGTTTTGGAGACTGCTGCTGAGGTAACCGGCTCTTCTGTGGAATATTCTGGGCGGCTGCAGCTGTAGTATCACGTTTTTGTATGCCAGGTGCCATCGGAGCAGATCTCTTTGGAATTAACTTAGGTGAAGGTGCCACTCTCACAGGCACTAGAGGAGTTTTGGGTGGGGCCGAAGCCATCCTAGGTCCTGTAGGTCGAGGGGGAGGACCTTTGACTTTTCCTGCGGACATCTGGGCAATGTGAGAGGGGGATGAGGCAACAGAATTAGCAGGTCTTGGGGGGGCAGCTCTCGCGGGGAAGCGATGAAACGATGCTGTATTTTTATCATTTAAAGAAAACAAGAACCTTCAGCAGTATCCATCTGAAAGGCCTTGTTGATGAAACTAGAATTCTCTGATGGTTCTTCAGGTCGAACTACCATTTTCTGTTCAACAACGGATGTGGATTTTCTCCTACTGCTGATTTCACTTGGAGCATTTTCTTCTGGACAGCTCATTGAGCTTGTAAACACTTTCCTTCTTGTATTATTTTCTGGACTTCTCTGAACCAACTCTGGTGAAATTATGCCACGCTGAGGTGAAACATTTGTGCCATGAGAAAGGAAGGAAACAGATTTATTAACACTCTGGTCTGGTGGCTGGGGAAGTATGGCTGAACTACTAACATTAGTTTCTGTAAAAACATTACAGAAACACTGGGAATACGGTGCTCATCTAAGTTCTCCAATAACGAATTACAACAAGATGGAGATGAACTCCTAGACATAATATCTGAATCCTTTGAATTTCTTTCCCCTTTAGCTTTAGAAATTTCTTCAGCAATTAAAGAATCTAAAGATGTCAGACTATTAGTTCTGTTATCAAATACAGATCGCTTAGCGCCAGATGCAGAAAAGGAACCAGGCTTGGTTCTTGTGAAAGACGGCTGGCTGGCTACAAAAGAGGGTTTTACAGGAATATTAGGCTTAGGAGATAAGCTAGGCTTTGGCTGGAGAGGCGGCTTAAATTTTGAGGGCAGGCTTGCTTTACGAACAGGGGCGGGGTATCTAGGCAATGCTGGTGCTCTTGTGCTATACTTCTGTTCAGTTGTCATGTCAGAGATATGTTCTGTAAGACCCCCATAAGTGTTAGGTGTGAACGCTCCTATGCTTGTGCTTTCTGAATTTGCCCGTTGAAACTTTTCTTGAAAACTTTTTACAGATGAGCTTGCAACACTGGCAGAAGCAATGGCATCAGAGTCTGACTTTGATTTTGGCCAAGGTCCGATGATCTCCACATGGTTTCGTGGCACCTGTCCCACATGACCATCTTCTGTTTGAACCCTTAACCAATTTTCGTCTAGTGTCTTAATCACCTCCACTGTGTCCCCTTCATTTACAGATATATCCCCAGCAACCTCGGCCATAAAGTTATACAAGACTAGGCCTATCTCATGATTCTCCTCAATATCAGCATAGCCACCAGTGCCTGAGAAGTATCTATTCTGCACGTCATTCTGAGCCTTATCTGAGTCTTCATTTGCAGCCCAGGAGACTGAACCTCCATCAGAAACAATCTGATTAGCAGCAGCAGCAGCAGCAGTATTTACATCTGTACAGAGATCAGCAGTTATGTTTTCAGCATTATCAACAGCTGATGGAACCTCCAAGGAAGGCTGATTTTCTGTCAAGTCCTGGCTGTAAGCATAAGGACAATCCACAATAATCTCTATGAAGCTGGTGGGAAACAATCCTCTTCTGCCATCAAGCTCACCTTCTGTCCAGTCTGCATCAACATGCTGAATTAACGTAACAATACTGTCCTCGGTCAGAGTAAGCTCTGTTGGTATTTGGGCCTCAAAAGGAAACATAACCCGACCATATGCAGTGATTTCTGCATCGTGAGATCGTGTGTTTTCACTGGTGAAAGATCCACTATATATATTCCCAGTTTTCAGCTCCAAGGAATTTACAGACCGTACTGACTTTGATTCTTGTGCTATTGGTCTTGAAGATGAACAACTCTCAGGCTGATTCTGGTTAATCCTACTGCCTGAATCAGAATTCCCCTCACCATCTTCTACCAAAAGTTCAACACAAACCGATGACACTAAACCCTCCTTATTATGACATTTTCCATAAAACCAATCATCGTCTAGAACTTCAGTAATCTCAATCAGGTCCCCCAGCTGAAAAGCCAGTTCTCCATCCAGCTGCGGCGTCACGTCCACCAGGGCTCTGGCGAATGTTGTCTCTGTCACCTTCGAGACTCCAGTGAGGCCAGCAATGTCTGACTGAGAGACCACACTGTCTGACCTCAACTTTAAACTACTGCCACATGCGCTGGCTGACCGGGATCTAGGCCCATCATGCAACTCAAGCTCTGCCACCATCGTCAGGGGAAATATTCCTTTCAAGGGCCCATTCTTGCCTCGCCACCATGATTCACTCACAGGTTCCAAACCAAGAATGACATCACCTATAATAAAAGAAAAAGCAAACTAGGTAAAAGATTTTTTTAATGCCTCTTGGTACACAGGGCTGGCTCAATATTTGTATAGACATTACTCCCACACCCTTGCAAACACCTGTTTCAACTTATATAAAAGTGTTATGCTATTATCGTTTCAGGAACGCCTACTTTTCAGTAAGGTTAAACTTATTCACAAAATCATATCCCACAATTCTCCTTATTATAGAGGACTTTCGGGGCAGTGAATCAACATCACTCGCCAGAATGGCAGACTTGGGAATTAAGATGGGCAATGCAAAAAATGAGACGCATACCAGACACACCAGAAGACTTGTTAATCAACATAGAACTGGTACTATTAGCCATCGGACGTTGGGGTTCATACTGAGGGGAGGATCTGAGCACCTATGGACATGTCCAGAGTGCAATTATGATAACCCAACTAACTAACTAATCTCCTTATTACTTTTGGCCAATTTTTCAATATAACGGGAGGCATAAGTGGGCGTTGCACATCCCTAACCTAGAACAGATCTATACAAAACAAGCTTAGCATACTCTGCAGCCCAGCCGTGGAATCATCTTCCACAGCAAATCAAAAATACCCCTAACCTCTACACATAAATAAAAATATATTTGAATATTTTCTCACTTCGGACTGCATGACCCCTTCACAAATTATAGTCAACTAAGCAAATGGTATATTGGATTTGTTAGTTTTTATACTAAGATTTAATATTTTCACAAATCTAGGTGCAAGCACAGCATATTGCAGCGTTTATAATGAATATTTAGTTTTTGTTGATATTTATTTTATGTTACTTATTGGATTTATAACATAACTGGATTAGGTTTATTACTATAGTAACAAAAAAAAAATTTTTATTTAGTAATTTAAGTATAATCAGAGCATATTATAGCATTTAGAATGAATACTTAGATGTCATTGAAAATGTTTATTATTACCTAGGAAATAATGTACGAATGAATGACTGTGGGCCAGGAGTGAGACTGGAAGGGCAGACTGGCCAGCCTGCCTAATTCCTAACCTACTGAAAATAGTTTGTTTTTTTACCCCCCTACCCCTTTCTGCCTTTCAGTATGACGTTTTGAAAAGGCATCTTGTGTCAGCTTTGGTGTGTGCTACACAGATAATGGTATTCATGGGCTCGGATATTCCACCAATCCATTATTTGCATGGACAACCTCTTGCTCTGCTTCTGTTGTGTCAAAGTGACAGAGTTCTCTAGTGCACTTTCATAAGGTTGCTTAAGATAGCTGCCATCGTAACCATCGGAAACAGAGCAAGAAATGACACTATCAGACAGACTATGGAAACAACACTGTGCACCAAATTCACCAAGAAGCAGAAGATCAAATGGTTCAGTCAGCTTCACATTAGATCTGGTGTGAAAGCAAGAGGGTACCCAAGCAGAATATGGACGGATGACATTAAAGACATTCTCCACTGACACAGAATGACAATAGCCATCAAGCACTGGATCACAATTTGTTTCTCCCCCATGACTTGTAATGGCAAACATTGAAACTGATTATGGTTAGGATAACTAAAGATAGCAACAGGAACTACACACAAAGCAAACTGGCAAGTAAACAAACTACAATGCAGCATGACTCCAAAAATACATTAAAAAAGATAAAACATGGACAGGAAGAGCTATTTTGAAAAAAAATATACAAGAAAGAGACAAATAGGAGGAGTAAAAATTTAATAAAAATTAGATAAAAGTATCTGAACAGTCATCCACTTTTGAGGCATCAACATATAAGCATGCACCCATGCACGCACGCACGCACGCACACATACTGACAAATGTGTTATCGTAACAACGGTGTGCTATCAATGCCACATACAGACAGCCCTACTAAACGCAAAATTGCATGTAAGATGAGATGTATAAAAAGAGATGCATGGAAAAACAAGATAGACACCAATGAAGAAGTGAAAGCAATGATATGCAGACTACTGGTAAATGATTTTACAGAACATCAAAGAATCAAATGGTCTGGTAAACTGGTCAGAATGGAACAAAATCAGCAAGCAGCTACAAGTACTACATGAGAACTACAAGGCAAGAGCTGACCAAGAGAGAGATGGTGGTGGTGGTGGTGGGTTGGAGGGGTAAGGGGGTGGAGGGGAAGAGGAGCAAAAGAGATGATACAGAAATGCAATATGACATTAACACAAGCTAAACAACTGGCAAAAGTCAGGAAACTACATCTAACTCCTCTCTGTGACACTTTACAGCATAATCAGTAGGACACAAGAAGAGGAAGAGGAGGAGGAAGAAGAAGAGAAAGAAGAAGAAGAAGAAGAAGAAGAAGACGAAGAAGACGAAGAAGCAGACGAAGAAGAAGACGAAGAAGACAAAGAAGAAAATGAAGAAGATGAAGAAGAAGAAGATGAAAAAGATGAAGAAGACAAAGATAAAGAAGAAGAAGATGAAGAAGACAAAGACGAAGAAGACAAAGAAGAAGAAGCAGGAGGAGGAGGAGGAGGAGGAGGAGAAGAAGAAGAAGAAGAAGAAGAAGAAGAAGAAGAAGAAGAAGAAGAAGAAGAAGAAGAAGAAGAAGAAGAAGAAGAAGAAGAAGAAGAAGAAGAAGAAGAAGAAGAAGAGAGATCTCCACAGAGTTCAATTTTGTTCAAAAGATGTTATTTGACAGTTAATTACCTTTAGCGAGCTCCAAATCGCCAGTCTGCTCTGAGGGAAAATCTTCAATAGCTAGAAACACTTTCTGCCCAGTGCGGATCGTTGGTAATGTAAGAACCTCCACAAAAGCTAGCGGAAAACTTCCAGTCATAGCCTGAGTTCCGATTCTGCAACCCACGGCCCAGTTTCTGTCTACTACCTCTGTAACTCTGGCAACATCTCCAGACTTCAGTGGCAGATCTGAAGGTGACTCTCCTGGGAAGTCGTAGCATGCTTTCACATAGTCTCCCACCTGTACGGTCATCTGTGTGGAGACAAATAAACCATTTAAAAGTTTAAAGTCGAGAGGATTAACTTTGTGTCAAGGGATTCCATTCCGTAAGGCTAGATCTCCCTCCGTAGAACTCAATCATAGGAAAACATAAACCCGACACTGGCTCCCAGGTCGGCCCAGTCTAAAATAGGTGCTAGGAAATGTCCTCAGAAAAAAAGGGAGCTGGTGTCAAGTGTGGAAAGCAAGGGGAAACTACCACATTACTATCCCAAGAAACACCTCATGAAAGCTAAGAGATACCTTGGGCACGAAATTGCATGAGGCAGGAAATCTGGTGATCGGCAAGTTTCTTTCAGGCGTGCTTTGATCAGATTGATGTTCTGTAAAGGACCTGTCACGTGATGATGGTGATGGGTGTGATGCTGACCACATCAGCCATACAGGGCCGGTTGGTCTACAAAAATATGACTCTAGCACCATATGCCGATTGCACCACTGGCATTTAAAACAAAAAACAAAAAAGAATATCTTGGGATGTTAGGTTTGGTATATGCCATTCAACATTCTGCATTAACAGAGAACAGACAGTATTGATTAATGTTATACAGCTCAAACTAATCCAACCAAAACCCTAGACACTGAGACCCCATTAAAACTGCCAGTCTATAGAGGATTGACAACCAAAGAGCAACCCCTAAAAGGAAAAAAAAGATTCTCATGTCAACCAGTTCCAGTTAATTAGAACACAATTTTCAAAATGCAAAAAGATAACAAGGAAGGTTAAAACAAAAAAATAAATACCACCAAAAAAAAAACTCTGGATAATTGCGGAAGTGTGGCATTATTCCACAGGAAGAAAAACATGTCACAGTTTAAACACTTGATTATTTAAGTTCTCATAATATGCTTAATTTCACTTTCTTTCTTGTTTTGCGGTCTTCCTCGTGTGTATTGTTGTGCACGTAAAAAATCCCTTGGCAGTTGAAAATCGCAAAAAGTAGCCTAACTGCGCTGCCTGGGCAAAATTTGGAGTTGAAAAAATACCCAAAGTAGTTCAGGATCCTTGCTGGTGCTACAGAGTTTGTGCACTGCGCTGAGATTTATGGGTTACTACCCTTGTGCCATGATGATGAACCGTTGTTCAAAACATCAACCATTAAACCCTGTGTGGGCTCCAGGGCCCCATTTTGGGGGAAAAGGAACAGAACCACTGCCCCCCCCAACAAAAATCCTTTACAACATTTTTCTTCAACCCATGGGCCACGGCCTACTGGTGGGCTGTTTGAAGGACCTAACACCTGAAGGATGAGAATCAAACCCCTTAAATTCTGCTCAACTGCATAAAACAGTTATATTATGGGACCCGACAGTTAAGTAACCTGTAATCCAGTCTGGGCCGGGAATCAGGACAATAACTCATTTAGCGATTATATGATTCCTGCAAAGAAAGTGTGGTGTTGAAAATTTCACCTTTGTTTCTATGTTTTATTACCTGTCAAGTGGGCCACGATAGAGTTTTATCTGTTGTGGTGGGCCATGATTTTAAAAAAAGGTTGAAGAACCCTGCTTTACACGACACTGCAAAACCAACCCCAACACATTTTGGCAGTTTGTGGTTTTTTTAGGCAAATTTATGTTCAGTAATTGGCCACTTCTTTATTAACCTTAGGCTCTTGATACCACTGTCAAAACCAACACAAGGTGCTACACATCGCATTCCAAACCTGACACTCCGGCATTACAAAGCGCGCTCACAACAACAAGCATGTGGTAAATAGCGAACAATTATAAGGGGAGTTTACTTTGAATTAGAAGCGCATCTGCCTGAGAGGAGAGGAACCAACAATCTACACCCAAATAAGCCAGATCTGTACAACAGAGTTTAAGTTTGGAACAATACTAAAGTCTAAAAGTGTATGACAAACCAGAACTTTGCAATGGAGTTTACAGTTAGTGAGTCCCAAGAAGTAGTAGTTCTGCCATCTACTTTTCTGTGCATACTGAGGGGTGTTACACAGTTGACAGACATATAAAAACTGCTATTGGTATGATTGCATTGCTGGCTCGTGAAGATTTAGAGTGTATGGTGATAGTTGGTTAGAGATCCCAGACTTCTTCTTCTTTCGTTCACTTTAAATAAATTAACTATATCTGAAGTGTTGTCTCTAGAATAAACTTCACTGTCTTTTGTAATTCACGCAGCGACCCATAAAGTTTGACTTGCCCTGATATTTCTCTTGACCAAAGGTTTTGCCTTGATATGTTGTATTTGGGACAATCTTGGAGGACATGATCTTTTGTATCAGGTGCCAATCCACATGTGCACATGGCTGATTCGATGATTTTAAATTTTTTCCTGGACTAATGCCGAACTACAACAATGCCAAGGCCAACTTACATTCTGCATTGGAGATAACTGCAACAACAATAACAGACAGAAGTCAAGAAAACTAAAGAATACTGAACTGTTGTTACACGGGGAGAACCAGTACTGAACTACATCAAGAGACAACAGATAAAATGGTTCAGACATCTGTCAAGACTAGCACCAGATAGTTCAGCACGGACAGCCCTGTCACTCAGACACAATGAAAGCAGAGCTAGAAGTTGACTGTGCAAAGTGGTGGATTGGTGGAATATATGAGGCCGTAAATACCAGCGTCTGTGTAGCAAATTCCAAGGCCTACACACAATGCATCTTTTAAAAAAAAATCTGACACTGGAAGGTAAAAAAGAACTAGAGAAGGTTTTTTTTTCTTTGGTTTAGGGGGGAGGGGGGGGGGTAGGGGGGGGAGGGGGTTGGTGAGATAAGTAAACATCACAAACACCTTAAATTAATTATTTAGTTTCACATACCCTCTGGGGTATGCAGACCATCAAATGGTAAACACTGTGTTACTGTGAAGCATATAAAATAACTGCACACACAATTAATTTTTCTGTCACTATATATCTACACGCTTGACAGACTTTCCATAAGATTAACATTTACAGGTGACTGCTTCCCTGTGTGTGCAAAAATGATAACAACATAACCAACCCTAAAGTACACTTTATAAGTAAGAGTCCTAAAGGTTGGTAAATTTAAAATGGGACCACATCATCATCATCATCATCATGCTTCTTCTGCCTTCTATCCTCCAATGGAGCATAGGCCCTCAACCAACTCACACCAAGTTGTTCTATTCTTGGCTACTGCAGGCAGCTCACCTTATGTCCTTCCCTTCTTGTTAACTTCAATCTCCAGCTTCTTCTTTGTTCACTGGCTGTAAGCTCCGGCAAGTGGAAATTCCAATTTTTCGTCTATTTCAACTTTGGCTTTGTGCCAGCACCTGAGTTTTGTGTGTGCATCTATATTTTGCTGACTTATCTTATGTGCAGTTGGTTGTTCCCTGCCTCCTCAGGCAGATGCACTCCATCTTCGAAGGAGGCCCCAGTTAGTTGAAACCTACGCATGCTAGTTGGGAAGGCAGTGGATCTATTCTTGCTTTCCCCCACAATAGGGACCCGGAACCCAGCTGGGGAACTCTCTAGCAAAGCTCTAACATTCAAAGCCAGTAGTTGAGATTTTCCTAGGTAAAAGAAGGTATGTAGAAAATCCAGACTTCTTTTAGCTGTATCTGCACTCTATCATCATTCTTCTTTTAGAGAAGGCTCCTATCATCTTGGTTGGCTTGGTTTTTTTCTTGTTTATCTTTTTGACTTTTGCTTGGGGCTATTGTTTTTTTACAGGATGAGGTAGCCGATACCAAACCCAAACCTACCTTTAGTTGCCTCTTACGACATGCCTGGTATGCTACAGTATTACTCTTCTTTGCTTCCTGTGAAGGCCCCGGTAAAACACAGGCACGTCATAGTTGTACTGCTGTTGGTGCTATGATTGCCTGGTCATCGGTGAAAAGCAATTCATTTAGTAACTCTCCTTTGTTGTCTCCTTCGCTGATGTTAGCTGATTTTCATTTTGTGAAATCTATGCCAGAAAATTTTTATTTCAAACACGTCAGATATGCCTGTATTTTTCTTTTTTTTCAAATCTATTACTGCTAGAGATGTGCCATTTTAGATACATCACGTATGACTGTTTTGTTTATATCCTTTCAGGACACTTTCCTGCTGAAAGAATTTAACTCATCTTCTAGAATCCAGCATCCAATCCTAGGTATGTCAGTCAGTTCATGATTTATATTAGGGCTGTACCGAATATTCGCTTCGTATTCGCTTCGGGGCAGAATAGTGGACCTAATAACTATTCAGTATTCCGCCGAATAGTTGCGGTCGGGCCGAATAAGAATAGTGGTTACCTTACATTACACCCGTTTCTGGACTGGTGGAAAATGAACAAATTAAAATTTCCTACATTGGTTCACACTGTCAGGTGTTATCATTGTACACCACCAAGTGAACGTCTGTTTAGTACAGCTGGAAATACCTTCAGTGAGACAAGAAGCTGCCTTAATGCTGATAACATAGAACGATTTTGTTGTTGTTGAAAGCTAATGCGCATTCATGGATTAACTAAGCTGTCAGTGATAATAACAAGTTTAGCTACTTGGTATAAAACTAAAAATACTTTCATTCCTAGGTATTAGTTACCACAGACTGACTGACTGAAGGATGCAAAACATGAAATGTTTTTAAATGTTTACTATTCTGTACTACATTTTGTGAAGTAAAATGTCAGAGTAAATTTGACATTATAGATGTTTGTTTTTTTTAGATTTATTTTATACACTATTTGAAAGTGGAAGAATGGGCCTCAGTTTGAAAAGTGCGATCTCCTGCAGCATGTATCAGTTCGTGTGCTGACACAGCTCAATGCCATGCAACAAGACTGTCAAGAATCTTCTCTTGTTGTCCTTCCACATATCTATCCAGTGGTCACCACATGTTCAATTTTCCCACATCTTATAACATGGCCAGAAAATGATGACTGTCTCCTTCTGATGTCTGTGAGTAGTTGTCCTCAGGCACCCGTCTCTTTCAAAACCTCTTGGTTGCTTTTTTTTTTTTACATTTTTTAGCTGTCCAAG